GTAGTGCTAGGGGCTCAGGGGGGCTTAGTTCCCCTTGTTGATGCAGAAAATTGGCAAATTTCTAATTTTGCTATTGTTTTTCGCAACATTTTATCCAAGTGGCGCCCCTTCCTTGTTATTTTGATACCACTACACCACTGTTCTAATTGGCAATTGCTCTGTCTCACTTTCGAATAAAAACGTCAACGGATCCGATCTAAATCATTCCGGTCCATTTCGCATCCATTTAATAGTTTGTATAGCCAGATTCAAGTCACTTCGTCACAAAGTCAGTGATTAGGGCTTGGAACAGAGAATAAATGGCTTGACAACAGCGTCTTCGGTAAATCCAAAGTCAAAAGACGGCCCTCTTATATTAATTGGTAAAGAAGTTAGACTGTTAATGGAAATTTTCTAGCTTATGATAGATAGCTAAGGGACCAAACATGATGTGGCTATTCGATCAATACAATTAGAACAATTTCGCACTGCTTGACAAGCTTTGCACCAACAGTTTAGTCCATGATTAGTATCTTAATTAGATTTTATGGGTGCACTCTTTTCTCGTCTTTCTCTCTACATCTTTCTTCAGTATTGTCCATATCATTATCACTATCACTATGACAAAGTCATTGTCATAATCCCTATCGTTACCGTTATCAAATCTAAAGCCCTGGCAAAACGACTAAACATTTTACTAAATGTTTAACTCAACTTCTGTTGCATATGGCCTGGGATGCGAAGCAAGGCATGCCAGAGATTAGAATATTAAGAAACCCATTAAATGCACTTGGCTGTATTAGAGGAGATTGTGATTACCAAAGGAGAGAAAGGAATTGTAGCAGATGTTTAGAATTGCAATGAAGAACTCAATGACTTGTTTTTAGGATTCTGATAATAGAAAGAAGGGAAAGAGGCTGCGAGGGTTTAAATTTTGATGGACTGTGCATAATAAGAAGAAGATTTCCGGATAACATGTAGGGTACAAAAGACAGTAGGATGATGATGGGCCAGGTCTGTAGAAAATTTTGTTCTTGGAGAGGAGGCTCACGCCCCTCCGAAAGTTATGAAGAACCTTTTTAAAAAAATCCCTTCTTTTTCTATTTTTATCAAGCGTCGATGTCTTGTAGATTAGCTAAAGCCCAATAATCAAGGCAGTCACATGGTCAACCACCTTGAGGAATGTTAATTAAAGAAAGGGAAGCAAAAGTACCATGCCCAAGCATAGCCTTTTTTCAGCGCTTACAATTATCAGACAAGCTGGCTCCCGTACCAACATAGTTTATTTAGTTCATAGGAGTACATCGGACTGCCTAACTGATACTAGGCCTTTCGATAAAATGATGGCGTTGAATTTTAATAGAAGGAATTTGTTCCAGTGTTTTATAAGTGTATTTTGACTTCACTCCACCCACTGCTTTAAATTCCTTTCCCAAAGTATTAGCCAAACGACAAAATCCTTTAAACTAGGTTTTTGAGCAGTTTCCTTGACAGTAACAATTGCTTAATCTAAGAAACAGCAAGCAATAATGCTTGTTTAAGTGGTGCTCTGCTGCCAAATCCCGAGATTTTAACACAATCGTTTTTCATTCACAAATCAGCCTTGAATAACCAAACAACCCTAATCCTTCAACACATTCACTGTTCACTGTTTCTTTTCATTCATAAAATTGTATTCTTACTCCACTACGCAAGTTGAGGCTCTTGATTAAGAAGTTGGCTCGCTTTTGTCTGAATACGTAAACTTTGTACTGTCATTATATACTATAAGTTGCAAGGCACCAGCCTATGCATGGTAGCTTGCGCTTGGCAATGTTGGTTGAAGACTAGGCCTCCTATTCGATAAAAGCCTAGCACAAATCGAAAAATTGTGCCAGGTGTATAACAAGTTACAAATTGGCTAAACCAATGTAGTGACAGTACCATTTGTAATCATGTCCTTCGTGTCATTGTATTACGGTCATTTACACATCGTATCGTCTTCATATCCTTAGCAACGTAATCAAATGCACATTCGTAGTGTCCCCTCTTTTACTGATTATGCACCCAATTTGTATTTGGTCAGTTAAGACCCGACGTTCTGATAACTACGTTTTGTAACTTGAAACTGGCTCCGTTTTTTATTCATCTTCTTCATTTTCTTCAAGATCATAAAAAGGACTTTCTACACGAGCAAAGTATAGGAAAAACATTAGCAACATCAATAGTTCCTACACTAGCATCCATAAATCAAGCCTCCTCTTTGCTGCCAATGAGAACGTTTCTTTATATTAATTGCCCATCACTGCAAAGATGGTAGAAATGTATTGGCATGCGAACAACTTTGAAACAGTTGAGATTATTGCCGAATATGTATTACTAAACAAAAATTCAGGCAATTTTTTTCGCTAGCTCCTAATTTCTTAAAAGTCTGAGTTTTGCCTTTCAATGGTATTGTTCCTTCACTCCTATAACTTTTCTTTCTCTTACACCTGAAATTCTGCAAACTCCAGCATAATGAAGAGTACTTGGAAGCAACAAGCAATGCACCAATTCAGTTTACGGCCTCGTTTTTGAAATAATTCCTCTTCATTGTTCAACTTTCTACCACAACAAGGATTCGCCACCATGCTTTTAGCCTGCATGCAACTTTTTAAGTTGCGCACTTTTTTAATGTAGATTTTATGTGCATATTGAGTTCGACAACTTTTGAGGAAGTTAGCCACACCCTTGACGTAGAGGGCAGGGGCCGTGGTGGCGGGAAATGTTGCCACGTTATCTTTATTCGACGGAGTTTCTCGTGTGCAAGACACCTTTCGGCATAACGACATTTCGCCATTTACCGTTAATCCCTGGTTAGCAAATTACGTGCTAGGAAGCAGCTCAGAATCCCCAAGTATTCATGACTCTAAACAGCCCAAAAAATAGAATCTCTCAATCTTACTGCATCTTCACACTATTTCGGATATTCTCTTGTTAAAGATAATTTCGCACTTGCACAAGCCCTGCGATTGGCATTACTTAGCCATTGACGCCACTTGCGAGGTTGCGTTGAGTCATTCACGAGCACAAAAGACTCAATATGCGAAACTCTTTAACAAGACCATGGATTTCTGTAAATCTCTTTGTTGTCTTATTGACTCGCCGCGACACTTACCATATTAAAATTGAATCGACCTGCTACCAAAGGGTGAATGAGGATTTCTATAATGTATTTGGACCTCTTTCGCTGATCTCCCATAAATCGGTGCATTGTTTTGTTGGCATCCAATTTCAATCAATCTTCAGACAAAAGCATAAATTTAACAATGTTCGCTACTGCGTGGATTTCATTTGTGGCTGCGCTCTTGACCGGCTTGACGAAGAAACTCTGCAACCGAAGAATAAGCGATAGAAGTTCCTGATTAGAATCAACTAGCATTTTGCTTGCGAAAAGCCTCTAATTGTCGACCTTTGCAGATTCTAAATGTTGCGTTGGATAAACCGTGAGTTTGTTTTTTAAAAAACATTTTACTTGATAAATGGTTTAACGAACGTATCGATGCATGCATACACTTTATAGCACATTTTAAAAATTATCTGATATCGTTAAATTTCAATCGTGGAAATGTCTCCCACGTTTGATATCGCATCAATGATAAAATTTAGTTTAACACAGTATAACAGTATCCTACATCATTGCTCGGTTTACATGAACTTCCAAACATTCACTGGCCATCCAGGGACAATAAAACGTGGCAGAGGATTGGATCATGCAATAAAAATCTCGATACAACTTATAGTTGAGTTGAAACTGGGCTTGGTGCCTCGGATCCATTCTAGATACTGACTGCATCCAATCCACCCACAGTTGGCATTCTTGCGTTATTTGACTTACGAAAATGTATTCCATTCTCAAAGTAACTATGTTTGCTTCCACTTTCCTCTTCAACAACAGTACAATGTCCAATCGAAGAATACCTTGCTAGTTGACAATTTCTCGAACCTTATTTAGTTGACCTTTCTATGCAATTCAGAAATATCAGTATTTGATTAACGTCCAGATCTTGATAGGATAGTCTTTAGCGTTAAGGACACAAATCAAAGGAAAATAGATCTACTTTCCACTTTCTGCAAAGGGGCCTTTTCCAGGTTTTACCAGTTTCAACTCAGAAAAACTTACTAAAAATCTTTTCGATTTAGTTTATGAGATCTGTAAGACCGATTTCAAATCAAGGAAGTCAACGTTACTGTGTACATCCCTGAAGGTTACTACTGAAGCCCACCTTTCGTAATCGGATGTACTGTTCTGAATAATTGGATATGTAGCTTAAAATTTTTCTTCTCATTTCTTTGTTCAAAGAATTTGCGCAGTTCAAAGTATCACGTTAATGTAGAAATCAAATTCGTTTGAATACTTTTAAAGAGGCAAATTTAATTCCCATCACGCATACTTAAGAAACCGAAACAAACTGGCATCGATGAACAATATTTGTGTGTTGTTCTCTTGGTGCTTTCAATGGTCCCTAGAAACCTCTGTTCGATTTTTTCAATTTAATAGCACGCATGACGACCTACTTCAGAAGGGGCCCGAAAATATTTTTCTTATTTGGTGGATATTGCTCCTACAAGGGTCCTAGGTATTGTAGCCTGCGTGCAGACTCTGAAATTTAAAAGAGGAGAGAAAGTATTTTCAATTCTCCTATCAATTCTCCTTTTTCTCCCATTTTCAATTTTGTCAACAGAGTCTGCACGCAGGCCAAGGCTTTGGGACTATATTAACGTGATTTGATCTAAGCTCTCCCCTCCTTTCCCCTATAGGAGTTTGGCCGACCTGTACCTCGCAAATATCGATAGAATCTTTCGCCAACCTACGTAAAAAGCGGACCTCCTGTGTCGTTTCCCTAGAATCTTCTAAAATGATCTATCAGCATACAAAAACATTTGTAGATTATGATGGAGATTGCATTTTTGTTCGCAAAAGCCATCCGAGAAGATCTATCCAGAAGGAGCTGTGCTTATTTTTCTTGCAGTTTTTGACAAAAAATATTTTCTCTTTCCAGGCGAGCCACCTGTTCCAATCATCACCAATTCAAATAATACCCGTAATGGAAAGAGCCAATCGGAGACCAACAATGTATCGATAAATGAGGTATGGTCCTTTAGATATTTGCAACACAAAAATCTCTCTCCTGATGAATATTGCCTAGCAGTGCTTTCCTCAAGAAATATGTTGCTTTCATATATTGCAAAGTAAGGGACAAATTTCGCCCCACACAGATGGTGAATTCATAGAGGCTGCTGCTCATATTTCTAACACCACTAATTCTCCACAACAATTTCAAACTGGATTTTAGTGTTCTTTCTCGTTAAGCTTTCTTTCAAGAAAGCTCTGTTGGAGAGAAGCAATTTGCCCAAATTCGCGTCCAAATTCACAAATTTTATTCACTTTTTCACGATATGGAATAGTGCAAGAAGAAAAAAATTTGGAAATGCATGATTATTATTAATCGCAATTGTTCGTTATTCTTCCGTTAAAAATTTAAGTACATAGCTTTCTATGTCAATGATGGAGTCACGAGACAGATCTTTTTATCTAGCCTTTCGTTTCTGCCTATGTAAATGATTCAAAGATTCTGCATCTTCTTATACTTGCTTATTTTGTGTTGAAGTTTAACAAAGGCATCTTATTCTGCTTTAAACAAAAATACATCGTCAGTGCTGCTGTCTACTCTTATGATTTGCAGGTGAAACGTACCAGGACTTCTAGTTTTGGATCTTTAGCTCGCATTAATGTTTACCAAGATATCATGAAAGGTGAAATCCCTTCACAGTTGGTCGGTGCTTTCTTCTCTCGTATAGGGTTAAGAGGTCAGAAAACTGATACAGCAAGACCTTTAATGGATTTAACCTTCATGCGTCCTTTTTCGATTTAACTTCTGTTTGGAGTCAAATATCCTTCAATACGTAATATTGGTCATAAGGTGGATAAGTAAGCGCTGTCATATTTCGCTGGGAGCGTAATCGGCTCAAGTAAGATATGTTTGTTCAGGTTGAGGCTGTTATCATGTTTGTTTTCTAATGAAAATTCTAGGAAAAAAGGGCGTACTGATTCCATACGTATTTTGTTTGCTTGGACAAGATATTTTGAGAATGCATGCTGAGTGTTGAAATAAAGACTGTGTGCAGTGAATGAAGAATGAACCGAACAAAGTTTCTTCTCTCTTGGTACCAGACTCCTTCTATAAGAAATAAGATTATATGCTGATATGTGAACCCAGTTGTTGCACTCAGTATTGTCAACTGGGCAAACAACAGTTTCCAACATGGCTTTTAGTAACATTCGTATATGACCTTTCTCTAATTTCTCTTTATCTTAAAACAAACAGAAATGTGAAAATTATTCATATGAAATGTAACAGAACACCGTTTGAGATCAAACATGGTTTTTAATATATCTCATCTTTCTAAATGAAAATGTAGTTATAGACCATATTAATTGCTCTGGTATTAACTTGTCAGCAATCCAGATCTCATAGCCCTATACAGGAGCCGGTTTCGGAGAATTCTGAGCCCCAAAATTGATGTTATTCGAATTGAATTCGATAGACAAATCCCTTCCTACGCTGATACCAAATTACTCTTCCCCGCATGTTTTGAATAGTCCTGACCTCTTCCAGAGGTACCTTTTCATCTTAAGTGATGCAGAAAGAGTTACTGTACTTTCGAAATCTCCGCTTACTTTACATTGTTATTTGAGTTCTTATATATTGTTTTCTCTAATAAACCACATGTTATAGACACATAAAAACCTAAATGTAGGCATGTCACACACGTAGAAAGACTCTGGGAGAGATAATGCCGCATAACGCAACACAAAGTTAATCTGGTACCATGGCCTGTTCAAAGGGCAACTAGCTGCAGCGACAAGCCTTTGGCCATTAGGAGGAAGACAATAAGCTATTGTTTAAAAAAATGAGAAGTCACTGGGCCGAGAGGGGCAATTGCCACCTAGGTAGTTGATATGCAATAAAGGTCACTGTCTGGTACTCGATTTTTTTAGGTATTGTTTCTGTTTCACTGTAATTTTTATTTTTATGTAACTTTAAAATTGTAGGATCATAAACGCAGAGACAGTGTATTCAAGGATCCTGTAAAAAGGACTGCCTCGTTGCCAAATGAATCTAAACGCCAAGCGACACATCGTAAGCTGAGTAGGCCCGGCTTTCTTCACAAGACATCAGCGCTAGACAAAAATGTGTTATGGGAAGAGCCACGACCTCGAACCAAAGAAGAGGCTGAAGATCAGCAACGGCGAATCAGCTTGGTCATTTATGGATCCTATAGAAAAGATTCGATAAAGAATCGCAAAAAAATTGTTCAGGTTAGATTCTTATTCAATTTTGAGAATAAAGATTGTTCAATCTTACATGTATTGTATTGTTTTATGTATCGCGCATTTTTTGCGATTGATTATACTTTTTAGGTGGCAGCTTGTCGGTATCTCTAGGGATTTTAAATTATAGCCTGCGCGCAGACTCAAAAGTCTCTTACTTACTATTGAGAGACTTTTGAGTCTGCGCACAGGCTATTGAATTATTTTCTGAATAAAGCTTTTCTCAGAGCTGGGATTTAGGCGAAACCCTATCCTTTTCTAATGCAAAATCAAATGTTTTCCCTTGTCCATCGTAAAAATCACATTATCACGAATCGCTATTTAGTTTTCTTTCATGGCATCCTTAGCAACACGTTTATATCCGGATCGTATGTTATGCTTTTGGTATAAGGAACAGGACGGTTCTAAAGTTAGAAATTGGGTTGAACCTGGGTTAACGTTAACCTGGGTTAGAAATTTTGTAGTGTAAACGCAGCTAACCTGGGTTAAGCCAACCCTACTCTGGAGGTGGGTTGAACCTAGGTTGACCCCAGGTTAAGAACTTCGAAATGCAGTGTAAACGCAAACCTGGGTTGAACCCAGGTTAACGATCTTATTCGCGCATGCGCCTTTTGAGCCATGAAAGGTGCCAAACACAAAGTCAAAACAAATTCGTCTCGGAACGCTCGTGCCAAAGGTCCTTCAATTTAAAGCAGCATATATTGAAAATGAATGAAACAAGGGCTGAAAGAGGTAAACTATGGGGCGACGATGAAATCGTGTCGTAAATCGAAATGTGGGCGGACGAAGACATCCAGCAACAGCTAGATTCATGTACCAGAAAGTTGCTACTCCGAGTTTCACGCTCAATGCGATCAGCAGGCAACTGTATAGCTCTGCCTAAACGGCATCGAACGCTTTATCACAGACTGGTGAATAGTTATTTCCAGATCGTATTTTACGTAAAATGCCAATCAAAATTGTCGTTTAGGCACACCCTTCTCACTTTATTCCCCTACCCTACCCTACCCTGGGTACCAGACTCACTACATTTATACATAGTGAGTCTGGTACCCAGGGTAACCCTACCCCTACAATGTTAGAATCTATACATTATTGGATTCGGACTAAAAAATTATGACCAATCAACTGGAAAATATGGACTTATTTCAAGACCAAAAACTGCTCCAATTACTTTTAGTGGCCATTGTAGCTGCTACATTGTTGAGAATTAAGGTAGCTGTTGATTGATATTCGAATTCAGACCCTGTGATTAACCTTTTAAGGATTTCAAACCCTTTTAAGTGTGTTCAGTGGCATCGTTATAAAAGGGAAAGAGTTGTCGCAGAAAGCATGGCGGCAAGTGCCCTTAGCATAAAGAATTTTCCTCTTTTTATCGGATTTTCCACTTTATGAAAGATATTTTTTGAAATTTGTTTGCTTTCAAAATGTCGGAGGCCGGATTCGATTGTTTTAATCGGAAAGAAGTTTCTGTTAAACAAACATTTTTAAGCCTTACTTGGAGAGGCATTTCTTTTTAGACCTTTGTAAGTCACTCCAGAATGAGACATGCCGCTTTCCCGGAGTTATAGTTAGTTATTAATTTGTCTTTATCTATTTTTGCTTTTAAGTGACTACTTACAATGCTATCCTAAGCATAAACGAAAATTGTGTGAAAAATTTCAAGCTGGTTTACCTTTCCTCGTTATTCGAAATCCCACTTAACTCATGTTTTCTTTTTCAGCCACTTGATCGTTTCCGTAAAGCTATTTCTCAAGTCAAAGTTCTCAATGCGATCAAAAGGGCTGCAGAAATGTATGTTTTTATAATCTCTTTTTTTCTAAAATCTCTAATTAGGCTCAAATTAATAATTATGAGGAATCTAGGATTTTATGCATGTCGTTTTTCCAACTAAATTTTCTACTGATCTTCTCAGCGAAAAGATTGAGCGACAAAACATAGAAAATCTGTGTTAGGTTTTGTCCTCAGATTTCGCAGCATTAATGCTATGCAAAATGATGAAAAAGCTACGATCTTATCCAGAGCTGACGGAAAGAAATATTTTTTAAAACATTTATCACACATGCTCGCCAGCTGCTGTCAAACACGTAATCAAAATTCTTCGAATGTAATGAAAGCTTTAATGGTTAAAATGATCCTCAAATTCGAAACTGTTTAGCTTTTCTTCATCTCAAATTTCAGCCATGTAGAAATAAGGAATGCATTTTGAAATTGATATTGTAAATGAATTTATTCGCTGTATTTAAAAATACATCATTTCCCTTCATAATGCAGACAATGGTTTACAGAGAATTCATGTTAAATATAGTATTGACTGCAATGAAAATCAGTTTATTATGAGAATTTGTACAGTTAATAGCCTATTAATAAACCGTTAAACATTACCTTGCGTTATTTTATAGTCAGCGAAAAACCTACCACCAGAACACGTCATCTTTTGCAATGATTCAGCAAGAGCTCGATGAATCAAAACAGTTTTGTAATTCTGATGGTCTGCTCTTTGATCCTAATTTCTATAAAGCCCAAAAAGAGGTAGGCTCGATGTTCTTTTTTAGAGAAATACAGTTTTGGATTTATTTTATCTGTGCGCTAGACACGCAGAGTGCACATTTGAACAGGAAAACTCAATATATTTATGCCTCATATTTTTACCACCTGTGTTAAAATGAACAGCTAGTGTGCTAAACTGATTGCTTTTGTCCAGGTTGGTATCATTTCTAAAGAATTTTAGTGTTCAGACATGAAGTGAATAGTTACCAAGCTAGAAAATTAACGTTTACCTAGATAGAAAATTGAATTAACAAATACTGTACAGAATTCTGCGTTGTAATTGAAAGAATTTAGCCAAAAGATTATATACTTTTTAGAAAATTCAATTAAAAATGTTGTTGCAGTTTCTTTGCACTTTTTAAAAATTGTACTTCTGTTTTAGGTTCACCTGTCTTTAGAGGCTATTTGCATTTTATCAATTAATCCAAACGCTCGAACAGAAGACCAACTTAATTCGGTTAGTTTATTGATAACGACTATGATTTATTCAAAAGCAGGCTTTGAATCCAAAAAATCTTGAAACATTTCCGTAATGTTTTCCTTGTTTCACTTGCATCGCCTTCTCTTTTTCTTGTTAAGCTACAGTTTAGAATTAACCCAAAGATGTGTATACATTTTAAGATTTCGGTTATTTTGCAATCTCCATCGTTTTGAGGAAGTGGATACTATTAGTGTATTATGCAGCGGGAGTCCAGACCTTCTCGAGAAACTTTCTTTGACTCTCGTCAATCATTTTCTAGTCCCAGTTCCAGAACGATCATTTCTGTGTATGGTTAAAGATGCTTATCACTTTCACTTCGATAAAAGTAGTATCAGACATTTTTGGGGAATTTTTATTAATAGAGCTATTTATAAAACAATTAGAAGCTGAGAACACTGGTTTTGTATTTTGAGTCAAAGAATTCAGAATCCCTTTTCTATGTTTATATTGGATTACACGTTTCATTTTACCAGCTCTAAGTGAATTTCTTTATTCTACTTTCTTTTAATCAATTATCACTTGTATTTTAGGTTATATCAATGGTGAAAGCAAGTGTACCCGCGTTTGGAGAATACCCCTCAAGAATGCAGCGACAGCTTTTGTCAGTTGGCTGGTATGAGAAGTAAGTCTACTCATCATCTCCATCCCCTTTAAGTTTTGGTAAACATTTTAACTGTAGCACTTTTCAGCTCATGAAATGCCCATACACACCGATAACAGCAATAACAAGCCGCATTATTTAATCCTGCATGAATATTATTTATCATTGTCGCAGTCCAACTTCTAGTGACATTTTCTCATTAGAGTGACTACTAGATTAAAGAGGTATGGCTTTGAGTATAGTTTTAAACTTTATCTATTGTGCATTCCGTTTCTATTTAGATTTGAGCCAAACAGAGTTATTATACGACAAGGGCATCGTGCTTTGAATTTCTACTTCATTTTATCAGGATCAGGTTAGTTTACAGTCTTTGTTACTTTGTAGAGAATGCTTTGAAGTAAGCCTATTTCATGAATGCTGGTCAACTGTTTGCTTGATTCGGGGAACTCGCTTTGCTCCCTGCATCTAACTCCCTGCCAGTAGCGGCGCCACGGGGGGGACTGGGGGGACACATCTCCCCCCCCCCAGTTCTCAGCAGAATCGATTTTGTATTTCGTCTAAATTGGATGAGAAAGTGTTGGGGGAGGGGTAATACTTTGACCCCGTTTTTTTTGTGATGTAATCCTATGATTTTCAAACTGCCAATTTTCAAACACAAGTTAGTCATAGGCGTTCCCTTCGGAAAAAATTGGCGTTCCCTGTTGGTAAAAAGGTCCCCCCCCCCCCAGAGCTTAATGGCTGGCGCCGCCATTGCTCCCTGTCCCTTTCCTTAGTCTAAGATGCAAAACCTGAGAGAACCCTTTTCATTTTTTAAAACAAAATGCTTTTCATTTGTTAATCTTCTTAGGAGCACTGATATTCGAAAGTGGCAAATTTATTTCAAATGTGATGAGGTGATTAGTCGAACAAGACAGTGAGATGGTTAACCAATGATAATTTCATTCCTTAAATTTTTCAAACAATAAATTCGAAAATAGATCATTTGATTGAAAAAGAACCAACTTTGAAGTTTCACAGCCAATCCTTTATTTATTGTTCTTGTGTTTTGGTGTCCAGTTGGAATTCATCTCTCTTAATAATGCATACCTCGCTCCCCTGTTCTTACTCAAAAACTGACGAGTTCAAAAAGCGCATGATAAATCTTAGAACTGCTTATTGGTCTAGCAAGGTTTCCAAGCTGTGATTGTATAGTCAAAAATCACTTAATAACGATCAATGTAAGTAAATGGTACCAGGAAAAAAAATTTTTAAAATAAATAACGACGTTTCGAGCATAGCCCGTTATCAAGTCTAAATAGAAACGGAATGCACACTTGATAACGGGCTATGCTCGAAACGTCATTATTTATTTAAAAAAATGTTCCTGATACAATTTACTTACATTGATCGTTATTATAGCGTTATATTGTACCGCACGCAATCTATTATATTTATGGAATAAAAAATCACTTGTGGAAATTGGACGAATGTTTAGTTGAATGCAGGATGTAGAGGTAAGACGCCCAGAAGGAGGGGGCTGAGCTCCATGTGAAAATGACAAATAGTAGCCATTTTCTACTTCTAGCTATTGTATTTTTGAGAAATTTGTTACAAGGGCCCTCTTGTTCTATCTACAACTCTACACCTCAAATTGTGTGTATCGCTACGGGAAATGGAATTATTCACTTTTTAATGTTGTTAACGGATCAAGTGAAAATACATGTGATCTAGACTATTTGTTTCTTGATTTTGTAAATTTAGTTTTAGAGATTATTCATTTTTAGCAATCGTTTCTTTGACAACGAAAGATAAAGTAACAGGGGCTTCGAAAGACACAACTGTTGCCATCCTTAGCAAGGGACACAGTTTTGGGGTATGTATTCTTATATTGACCATGAAAATTCATAATTGTAGGCTTTACTGACTTTGTTCAATCTGGTCTTTTTGAAGTTACACTTGGGTGAATTTTGTAGAACCTTTTGTTATTTTTCATACCTGTGACATCTACACGGTTTTCGTTAAATGACATCTTCACAGTTTAATCAAGTTGTAACGGCAACTGAAAACCCTTTTTAAAGTCTTTGAATTTTTCACACTACCTTAAAGAACACCACAGAGTGCCTCTCAATGTGCAGTTAAAAATATGGCAAACTTATTGAAATGTGGCTATTAAACGACCTTGTTGATGAATCTATTGGCTATATGACATCACTATCACATGCAGACTGTTAAATAATGTGCTTTCAGATGTAAGAGCAAAATTTAAAAATTTTAACTGTTTTTTTGGTGAGAGGACGTAACTCTATTTTAGGCGTCTTACAACCTTGTTTCTTACTTAACTTTGATAAATCTGGTATCTAGGCATACTTCTAATATCAATCATGGTATATGAAAATCTAACTTTCCATGTCCTGGTTGACATATTTAATGTTTTTTAAGGAATTAGCTTTACTGCATGACACCGCAAGGACAGCTACAGTTATATGCCAATCCGAGGTCGCGTTATTGGCAGTTTCGAGACAGGTATGATGTTGGATTGTTAGGGTAACGAACATTCTGATCGATTTGTTTGAGTATTTAGTAATTAGATAGTAAGACAATTTGATACAGATAACTGTAGCTATCCTAGACAATCATTGAGAATTGTTTGATTAAAAATTGCAAACATTTCATAAAATGGTCGGACATGATATCTTGATAAACTGATTCAAGCACTGAAGAACAAGTATATTTAACTCAATAATCAATTCTTACATTGTTATGTCGAATTTCGCATTGGATATCAAAGAGCTAATTTTTAAATGCTAATCTTGTTCAGCACTTGTTCAGGTCTTTGCCTGGTATTGGTAGTTAAAATGCAAGTCATTGACATACGGCATCAGCTTTGTGCCCTGCAGTCAATTTTCCCTGTCTTACTTTTTAGGATTTCATTGATATTTTCCTGCGTAGTACAGATGATGACGAGGAGCAGGAGCACATTAGGTTTCTCAAGTAAGTACCAATGGTTTTGACAGTTTTATTTCTATGGCGATTCAATCTTAATTTGCTGATTACACTGAGCAACTGAGCAACAAGAAAAACTGAGACATGATAGTGATAAAGTTTGTTTGTTTCTCATGCCTTCTAGCTATCAGAATTAGAAGACTTTCTTGCGTTATTTGACATTGGTGACTTTATATTATTGGATTTAACAAATATTGGATTCAGTCTTAAGAATTAACCTAATTCATAATCATAGGTACGACATGGTTTAAAGGAAGAGTTATAATATGCTCTTTTTAATGGATGACTTTTTGGCTATCACTAAAACATGGATTGGAAATTAGAAAAATAGATTCAGGGAATATTGAGGAATTTGAGACTCGGGGAATATCGGTTCAAGTGGATGGAAGAATTTTATGATGGCCTATGCAAGATCTTCTGTCAATTCGTGCCTCATAATTTTACTACTTGTATACTTATGATTAGCTAGTGTGCTTAACTAATTGTCTTTGTCCAGGTCGGTATCGTTTCTGAAACGATTTCCACTAGAAGAATGTAATGGAAAAATCGGAACTTGTCTGTGTCATTATTTCAGGTCAGTCTCTATTCAGTTCATTGCCACCCTCAGAATGGTTTTTTATGATACACTGATATTTGTGGCATCTAATTTCCCTCTATGTAGTATCATTTCCTTATCAGTCCTTGATTTTAAAGCTCTGATCTGTTGACGTTTATTTTTATTCATAAACAGCATGGTTTCATTAGGCATTGGGCTCCGAACTTGCCTTTGATCCTACAACACTTATATTTAGGTAATGCATGTCATTTTATCCTGTTAGTGGCGTCTTTGGTGTTATTGTTACTTTTGTTACTACTAATCTTTCATAGGTGGCCGTTCATTTGCAAAAAGGTTTAAAAAGCTTTCAATTTCTTTCAGGCGTGGAGTTGTGATTGAAAAGGACCCAATGAACTCTGAGTGGATTTATATCGTTAAATCTGTGAGCACCCAGTGTTAGTTTGTAAATCAAAGAATCCGCTAATAAATACTTTAGATATATAAAAAGCGTCTTGTTCCATTATTTTTGTTGATGCAACATACTTGAATAATCAGCTGGAGAGAGAGGAGGGTACGCTCCTTGTTGAAGTTATCTGCAGTCGCAGGAATTATGTAATGTTTTCTCCACTATGTATTACTAACTTTTTTGCAAACACGGTTTCGTTAGAGCTGCTCTGCAAAGGCTGCCCCTATACACCTGACATATAAAGTCCACGATTCGATCGCACTAGTAATATAGTATATATCTAGTAATATACCTGCAACTGCATAGACCATTTTTTTATATATATAAAGTATATATTTAGCTCCAAGATATGACATTGCTTTGAAAGTCTAGGTTTTGAAAGTCTAGGTATTCAAATATGAGTTTCATTCTTGTATGTTTTACTGTAATTATTTATTCTTAGGGATCTTGCCGCGTATTAACAAGACTTGCAAAACCAAGAACGGATCCTGCATACCACCTCAGTCGAAAATTACCAAAGTTAAAAGAAGAGGAAATTTTGAGTGAGTATGAATTTTGAGTGTTTAAACAGTATGCCTTTTGGACACCTTCAAGCCAGGGTTCTTTACAAAATCTATGGAAAGCAGCTGAAGTCTCCTTATAGTTTGAATCTTTTTCAATTTTTTACTTCATAATTTGTCCTGTTCAGGTCATTTTTCTGTTGATTCAAACCTTCAATGCTTTGAAAAAAATTAGCATGCCGTTTAGAGTTCTGCAAGAGAAAATACAATATAAAGTTACATGTTTCAAGTTGCTCATTAGATGTCGTGTGACTAAAGAGCTTTTGAAAAGCATTTATTGTTATCATTTTTATTGAATATTTGAAGACCAATGAACCCTAGCTGTAATTTGTGTACAAAGAATGCTTGTCAATATTGAATACGATTAGCCACATGCTCCTTTACTTTCTTACTTTCGTTACTTTCTTCACAGTGTTGTTATTTTGACTGCATTAAGTCATGCAATGCCGTAAGGGGTTTGGTAACTAGGAAGATGGTGTTATCAGACTTCTGCTGTGATCTTCCATTACAGTCACTCCCTCAAAGTGTTAAGCTAGAAGAAAATCCACTAATTATCACATCATTAAATATACTGTTTTTTTAGCCTAACCAGGCCCTTGAAAAATCATTGAACACTGGAAAATGCTAACCAAGATAGTCTTTCATTAGTGAATTAGTGTCCAGTTCTAATAGAAATAGTCAGAACACTCTCTACAAAGGGGCAAATCGGAGACACACAAAAGTGAAGAAGCAGTTTTAAAAACCAACTTACCATTTTCTTTGTGGGTTTTATAGGGAGCAACCGAATCAGACGGAAAAAGTACAGTAACGAGCAACTTAGCCCGACTGAGAACAACAGTTTTCTTCTTCCAAATATTAACCCATTGGAACGGTTACGGCCTAGGACACACTCAGGCCCAAGCAGAAACTCAAAGCTACCTCCTGTTCTGACTTCCGAAGAGAGAAAGAACGCCTTTGATGACATGGCATTGAAGAAACCAAAGCAAGAACTTTATACAAGTCGACTTGAAGTTGTAAGTCTGTCTCTTCATCATAAGCACAATTGTATACATGCCACATTGATTCCCCAAACGATCTCTGTGAATGAATATCCCACCTTCCAGTAGAAACATGTTTGTGAAGATTAAGCAACAAAGGGTGTACGTAGCGATTTACAAAAATTAAAGCTATTCTTAAGCTGTAGAAAAACACTCTTCATATTCTATTGGAGCTGCATCTCTTTTTGCAGATTTTTTATGTATTTCACACCACCCTCTGTTAATACAATTTCTGGCGGCATCATTTCTAGAAGTGGCATTATATCATCAAACTGCTCGAGTCTCTTCTTGGATGTAGTGATTATTCCAAGTGTTTTTTCTTTTCAGAATAAGGAAAAACGTGGAACGTACATCTACACATCAAAGAGCGAAACCGATCGTAAGTTGCAAAAGATGTTCATCTCTTTTACAATACCTCTTTTATCGTCAGTGACACCGTATTCAATAGTTTTTTCTTACATCATTATTACCAAAATGATTTATTTCTATTTCTAGTTAAAAAAGGTGAAGAAATGCACAGGCAGAATCTTATGAAATTAGCAGAAACACACAGAAAAGAATTGGAGGTATTTTAGAATTAAAACTTGGTAACTAGAACAATTCAGCAAACCTATGATTACTGTATGCATAGAAAGAGTGAGGTAATTGTTGCAATGAATCATATTGTCAATGCGTTTTAAGAGATGCTGTTTTTTAAGAAGGTATACCTCGATAATCAACCGGAAAGGTGTATCAAGAGAATGGGCGTTCATCATCAGATTGGGATGTTGAAATCAAAGCGGATGTCAAACATCTTTAACCCAGATCTATCCACTGCTCTGCTGCTTTTAAAAATTGATCGTTCAGTAACGTTGTAACTTAGACCACGTATTCTTATTAACGCTTTTTTAAAATAAGTTACTTGATCAGGACCCACAATGCCTGCCAAAAGTCTTGGAACACTGATATCAATTTCCAAGGTCAAAACCAATCATCTCCCTCTCCCCTACAGAACAATGTTGGTTTACTATCAAACGGGTTAGGATTTTAGGAAGCACTTTCTTTTGCGCTTCTTTTATGATATTTCTCTAAATCATCAATATTGTTTTAGGGGGAAGGGGGCGGAAGTAGCAATTTTTTTTCATGAAAGGAATGAAAGATATCAAATGCAGCGTTAATTGGTGGGTGTTCCAAGTACTTTTGGCAGGCATTGCAGCTCTCAAAGTCGCGTATAATTTCAATTGTTTTAGTCCTGAACGTTGCTTCTCAGCCTTCACACTTTCTGTAGACACCTCCCAAACACATCCTTCACACAATCATGTTTTTTATGTTTTTTCTATGACCGTTCTCGTTTTACCCAACCATTCACTTCTAATTATAGAATAGATCAAATAAAAAATCGGACAAGAATGGAAGTACTCAAGATGTGTTTGTTCAAACAGAAGTGCTGAAGCCAAAAGACCAATTTGTAAGGACATGTCTTTTTTAAATTTGTCTTACTTGACTTGAGCATTTGTTTTTTTGGACTTCTACTAAGGTTTCTTTTCTAAAGATCTTATCTTACTTATTTATACTTTAAATCAAATCTTATCCTTTAGGCTTTTAAAATATTTTGCCTATTTTATGTTGCTTTGTAAAGCAATGATTTTCAAAAGCAACTACTTTCATGATGTATGTTGACAGAAAACCATATCAGTTACAAGGCATTGTGTTCAACCATATTTGTAAACGTGCACTGTAATTTTAACCATCCTGTGAGCGTGCCCAATAGTTCCCCTGATTCTTGAATTCCCGCCTAATTCTGGGGTTCCCGACCATCAATTCCCTAATCCCGTTGTTATCTATTCCCGAATCCCGCTCATAAAGATTTGCCAATTCCCGATTCCCTGAAAAACATATTGTGTACCCTTTCCAGTTTTATTTCTTGTTCTTATGCTGTCATGTTCTTCCATTTAGGGCCTAGCTGCACTCCTATACCACGATGTACCACAAACAAAGTCATACCTTGTAAGTAACTCCATGGTTCCAAAGCTTCCACAAACATTTATTTACGATATGATTATTTCCGACGCTCCTGTTTTCTTTTTAATCATGGTTCATCGAGGCATTTTCCAATTTATGCAATACTTATTGTACTGAGAAGAACCTTAGCAAAATGGGAATTTGCTAGTTGCCCCATAACATTAGTTGTCATAGCGTTATCGTATCTTTACACTTAGATGTTAAGACAAAACATGTGTGTACGTCTGTTTTATGGAGGGAACAACAATCCTTGCAATGTTCTCATTTATTTTGGAAATTATTATCAAATTTCTTTGAAAAACTCTGTTTTCTTCCAGATAAGCAACGGTGCTGAATGTGTCCTTCTGTCCAAGGCTTGGGTGAAGCAAAAAATAAATGAAGGCCTGCTAAGGATGCTAAGATCAGAGGTACAATTTATTCTTTTCCTTGTCAATACCGATATATATAATTTGAAGACCTTGTAGTCCAAATGTTTTTGATATTACCAATAAAAGGAATTATCACTGCAGTCTTCTCTTCCAAAACAATTTTTTGATTGTAGAGTTAGCTATCACAACTATTAATTCAGCAAGACTGAAGCTGTGGAAACAACTTGGTATTATAGTATTCAAAAATTGCGTGTCTATTGTAATCTTTTTGGAAATTTCATAGACATCTTTTCTTTCTACCTTGTCTGCTGGCCAGCAATATAGACAGGGAATTTCCTACAACAATCGAGCAAAGTGCCTAACCTTAGTTTTTGTTCTTGATTTGGGTACTTTAAGCCTTGCTGAATATTTTTAAGTCTTTGATACATTTTTGTAACACAATAGAAATCACGTTAACGATGACGCCATTTTCCCCAGCCATTAAACTTTTTACTTGCTGAATGCTGCTGAATAACATGAAGTCAAAAAACTTCAAAATCGAGGTAAAGCAACCTAAATCACGACCATCAGTCTTTGAATTCCACGTGCTTGAAAACTGCAGAACCTCCATTTTGATGATGTCATGCAAACTTTAAATAGCAATAACTCGTTATCTGCAAGTCTGATAGAGTTTATTTTTTGGAACTTTTTGCTCCCATTACAATGCCAAATAAGATGGATGAAGCGATTTTCCAAAAAAGAGAAGTAAAAGTTTAAATGACCGTTAATGACGTCATCGAGCACGTGATTTCTATTGTGTTACAAGAATGTATCCAAGGCTTGAAATATTCAGCAAGGCTGAAAGTACCCAAATCAAGAACAAAAACTAAGGTTAGGCACTTTGCTCGATTGTTGTTAAAAATTCCCTGTCTAATAGTGATCTTTGCAGAACTAAATTTATTTCCTCGTCTTTTTTGAAATTCGTTTGGGCAACGTTATTATGATAATCCAGTTTTACAGTCTATATTCTTCTATAAAGTTCAAAATTTGTCTAATGTTTATTTTAGATATCACCTACCCCGTGTGCAACAAGTTTGCAGCAAAACTTACAAGATCAAGCAAGCTGGGAAAACTATAAATCTAATGTTATAAATGGAATTGTGGCAACGCGAATCTGACCTCCAGTTTATGTACAGAGTTTATGTATCTATTAGAAGATGTAGGGGGGGGGGGTGATATGGCCTGATTTTAATCCGAAAGACATAACAGCATACATTCTTTTCCCTAGCTGGAAAGAGATTTAACGTACATTAAGTCCTGGTCGTCAAAAAAATAATTTCAAAATTTTGTTCAATTTACATGGAAAAAAGCATTATTCAAAGCTGTCTTTGGCATACCTGTATGTATGTGTGTAATCTTATTTTAATTTGAATACAAATAATTCTTATTTCTAATCACAAGATAAAAAGATACTAATCTAATTCGAATAACAAATTTACAATAAAATTTACGTAAATTTTTTAAAATACAAATTTCTGAAGTTTTAAATACATTCCATAAAACTACTGCATTCTAAAGTCCTCCAATACCCTCCCTAAAAAACGTACGAAAACTTTAATTTACGAAATTGTGATCATGAAAGCTAAAATTTCACTATAGCAGCTTAACAAGATACACTAAATTCGTCAGGCTGACACGGTATATATTGACAAAAAGCATTTTATGCTTTTCAGAAAAGCACCAAACCATGATCCAAAGATATGCCAAGTAGAGTCTTCAAAAGTTTTTGCGGCTTCGACTGTTTGATATTGTAGAGAAAAGACAACGGTTTGTTCCAAATGTTTGTAACCTTTTAAAAAGACCCCTGGATCCTTCTTCTTTGATTCCTTTCACATTTTGGGCTTAACGTTATCTTTTTCTTAGCTCTACTATTGGAACTTTTTTAATGTGGAAAATTTCCAAAAAGGCTTCTTTTCAATTCAATTTTCAGCAAACTTTTTCAGCCTATTTTGGATATGGCCTCAGGTCGCAGTGTCGTGTGAAATTAAATATCCTTTGCCCCTTGGGCATTTGCCGGTTGATTTTATTTTCAGGCTATGTCATTATCTTCTCGTCAAATAATTCTAAGAGACAAATTTATTTAGTGTAGCATAATAGCGCGTCCGTAAGTGTAAAATTTAGAGTTGTAAATATCGCTAGAATTTTTAGATGTATCATTTGAAAGTAGATTCATTTTGCGAGTAATCCGATGCTTTCCTTAATCTGCAAATATTTGCCTCAATTTTTTCTTTCATACCTAACTCTTTCTTTATAAGCAGATTACTGAAGTATCATTAAGTTCTCGATGCCATAAAGGCAGAGCTGTACACGCATACGCGTAGCTATTTCTATATGTTTGCACAGAATGAGTTTGATCGGTGCAAGTGACCGTTGCACCGATGGCTTCCAGCCGATGTACCGATGACGTTGAAATAGTGAAAAATCTTGAAAGATAGCAAAGACTCTCGAGCCTTGCTCACCAACAAATGCCACCTTTTTGGTTTCAATATAAGCTTGATTCCGTATTTGTATGTAGTCAGATCGTTGTGGTGTAGATCGAGCATGTTATTAACTCAGCTACTAACAAATGGCGATCTGTGATCCCAAAGGTCTTTGGTGGTTTCGATTTCTATAATGGCGATGAGCATATCTATTTACGACAGTCAAAACGTTTTAGTTCTCATAGAGTGGTTAACTACAAACTGTCTTCCAAAAGCACTTAAAATGAAAATACACAATTTGCTAAGTTGATGATTAAACGTCAACTGTTAGAGCATTAAGAAGAAGCACATGGCTGCGGTTCCACAAGGATGTTCTCTTAATCTCAATAACTAACATTGTTTCCTCTGCGGTTGAAGATGAATGGCATCTAAAAACAATAAGTGCTTATTTTTTGGCACATGTTTACAGCCTGCAGCCCCTTTTATCAAAAGCTTTTTAAATTCCACTTTTAGCCTTTCTTTTTGCGGAATAGCAAAATCTACCAGATGAAGAACAGGAGAGGATCCCTTTAAATCATAATTAAACAAAAGAAATAGCTATTATGGCATGACAGCCGGGAGAAGAGCAAGTTTAAAAAGATATTTTTTTTCAGATAAAAGAAATGCTCGAAATACTCAATAAAAGCTGGAAGTTTCCATGATGTTCTATGATGAATTAGTCTTGTCGTAACAGGTTTTGGTTCCCCTTGCCCCTTGGTTGGCATTTGAAAAATAACCCCCAGCTTCTACTAATTCTTTCGTAACTGTTGCCTTATTTCGATCTACTGTTAGCATCTTGTGGCAAGAACTTTTTGAAATTTTAGAAATGTTGCCATGAATAAGGCACTGCAGGCAAAATTTCGAAAGAATCTCTCTTATGTTTGCAAAAAGCCGGTCTCAAGTGCAAATCTAATGAAAAGGGTACTTTGCCCCCTTTAGCTCTACTATCAAAGGGCAAGAGGGGAAGTTGCCCTCTGTGCACCCCTATGCCCAGTGGCGGTTTCAGGGACTGCGGGGCCTTGGGCCAAAAACATCTGCGGGGCCCTTGTTCCTTTACAATTTCCATCTTTTTTAGGTGTGAGGCCCCTATTGGCTATCATAAGCGCGGGGCCATGGCCCCTTGGACCCCCACTTCAGTAGCGGCGCCACGGGGGGGGGGGACTGGGGAGGACACGTCCCCCCCCCAGTTCTCAGGAGAATCGATTTTGTAGTTCGTCTAAATTCGATTAGAAAATGTTGGGGGAGGGGTAATATTTTGACACCGTACTTTTTGTGATGTAATCCTAAGATTTTCAAACTGCCAATTTTCAAACAAAAGTTAGTAATAGGCGTTCCCTTCGGATAAAATTGGCGTTTTCTGTTGGTAAAAGGGCATTTTCTGGTTGTTAAAAGGGCGTGGCTTAAATTTTTTTGGTTTGTCCCCCCAGAGCTTAGTGGCTGGTGCCGCCATTGCCCCCTTATAACCGCCACTGCCTGTGCCACTTCTACGGCGCCCCTGTCTACTGTTTTTAAAATGCAGCAAAATTCAATAGAGTCGGATACCTGAAGGCAATGGAATGCAAATCTGATAAAGCTACAGAAGACGTTGCAAAAACCCAAAGTAACATGTTGACTGGTGATAACAAACGTTGGGCAGTTTTTAAATTCAGCAAAGTTTCCGCAAAAGCAAAATTCAGGTACAGATTTTAGCATGTTGCCCGATTCCTTCCTAGAGCCTTAGAGATCGCTATCATTTCCCCTTTTTTATATAAGCGAAAGCTTAATCCCCCGCAAAATGAGTTGCGATAAGAAAGGGTAGTCATTTATTACTAAATCAGGAGTTGCAGAATCGCTTGTAAAAAGTTAGTATACATTTTATGATCACGGTAGATGTGCAATACCTATATGGTCTTGTTCTACTGCAAGAAGGCAAACGGACCTCTGACGACGTGGGACCAGGGGACATTTCCCTCTATTTTTGCAAGGCAATAGCGCTTTTTTGTAAAATCGTTTGTTATAAGTCTTTTATTTGCCTTCCCCCCTCTCTCCCTACTGCCAACTTGCGTTGGATCCCCTGTTTCATATTCAAGAATGCACATTGCGTTTAACAATATCACAAAACTGTTAAGCAGCCCAAAATTTTCAATACTCCAATTACATCATTCAATGGTGAGCAAGTTTAGAATTGTCGAAACGTGTTTATTATGAGCTTTCATATCCAATGAAATTAAATTTTGAAAACAAAACTGAGGTTTCGAAAGGTAATTTTTCCCCCGTATCGACCTAGAAAGAAAGTAGTAGTATATTGCGAAGGAGCGCGCGGAAGTGGCGGTAATGATTTCGCGCAGTCATCACCTGCTTGAAAGTTGTCCCATGTTTAAAGTCGAAAACACCGAGTTATGTTAAGCAGCGTTTTAATGACTCGTGGAAAGCAGCCATGTCTGATCAGGAGATTGGAACTTTGATTCACCAGGGAACTCTCATCAAATCACCTCCAGAAAGCAAAAGCAAAGACCTGAGCAGGGTAAGGTTACACTGTACACTCTTGTCAACATTGAAATTTTAGGCCATTTTGGCTTCCAAACATTACGCCGAAAATGTTCTCACATTGGCCATTTGACAAGGTGTACCGCTGTTTATACCTTGTAAGATCAGAAGTTTTATTTGGCTTTCTTTTGTCAAATTTCTTGGTCTCCTTCCTTGAACAGTAACGTTTGATTGACACGGTACTCGTGTTTCCGTATTTATATATAAACCCTTTGAAGGGAAACACAATGCAATATACCAACCCCTGTTTACAAAAGAGCCACTTTTAGATAAAACGAATGTTATAAAAATGAAAATTATGTTATTTGTGTGTTATTTACGTAATAACGCTGGATGCTATTTGGCTTTTGAATGAAGGGAAGGTTATTAATACTTTATCTGGTAAATCTGTTAGTAGCATTGAGAGGGTATTGACTAAGTAAAACACGTAAAAGGGTGAGATTAGTTGTATGGTCCATGAAAATATTATATTGCAATATTGACCTATAATAGGTATTAAGTACCTAGACTGCAAAATATTGTGATTCTTTATACAAGATCTTGAGAGTGCAATGAATAAAGTGGGCATTGGTGCAAATGTGATGGAACTGAATATCAGCATGTGTTTTTACTGACAACATTGCCCCTCAGCATTTGGCCCTTCATGGTTGTAGTAACTATCGTTTTATTATTCTGGATACTTTGCAAACTGGCTCAGTACTGAAGCAATATAGAGGGCCAGTTAAATCACTCTATCAATAACATACATAAAAACAACTCACTTTCAAAAAAGATTCCGTTTGCAGATTATGACCAATTTTAACAAGATCTCTGGTGTGCCAACAGCCCTGAACCTCAGATGTGGGATGGCAAAAAATACCTGAAAATGCCATTTTTCCAGATTTAAACTTAATGTATCTAGTTTTAAGCTGCACCCCCAATGCCTCCAGTGATGTACCTAGACAATATAGCTTGGGGGGGGGTTGTTTACAGAAAAAAGTGACCAACTATACTTTTTTGATTAATTGGTTTATTTTTGTAACAGCGACTTCTCCCGTCATCGCATTTTTTGCAGTTAACTTTTTGCTTGTTGGGTGGTTTTTGTAATAATAGGCAAGAACTTTGATCTATCTGGAAAATGATAGTTAATTAAGCGAAAGGTACATTTGTAGCAATTAGAACCTTTCAATCTTAAGAAAACAGGTACAGAAAAGTCAAAGAAATCTGTAGGAATTGTAGATTGGGGAATATCATAAAACAGCAGGTCCCTTCTAGCAATAGAAACAAAACTACCCCCCAAAGAGAACAGGGTACTCTGTCTTGCAGATCAAAAACGACAACTAAAACATGGAATTCCACTATCCAGTGGCATTTACTGAAAAACCCAGATTGGGGGAAAGCTATAACTGCGACATGTTTCACATTATTGGCAAAGCCTTATCATCGTTCCATCTAGCAGTTTGTCAATCTATCTACTATATAAACATGACAGACCGCTTTTGTGTAGACAGAAGGAGTTCATTTTCACCTTAGGACTTCGTTGGTAACATTTTCAATAGGAAAGCAGAACTGATTGGACAACCTCAACAGTCATGTGCTCGCATTTTCTGATTGGCCTATTTCGACCCAAAACTGGGTATTTTAGCGTAGAGTTTTCCATCTATGTTCTGACGTTTTATACTCTGAAGAGTGCTAGACGAAAGTTTGTTTCAAAATTTGTTTTTCAAAGCCATTTTCAAATTCTGTACAACAAAAAGATTGTTTGGCAAGATAATTGTTGTTTTTGTGTTATGCCAGCTTTACATGAAACTGAAAGAGTCTGTTCTTTCAAATACTTCAAGTAAAGGTGGTGCCTAAGTCACAGTTAAAGCAAATACAAATTGAAAGAAGTAAAACAGCATAGTCCTGACTGAGGCTATTAAAGGCAACCGACAGATACTAAAGGGGCTAAAGTCATCTGTCGATTGTCTTTAAAGTACATTCTATGTGTTACTGATTTAGCATGCCTCAGCAAATGAGGGGAGCGATTCAAAGCTCACCTTTCAAAATACAAACAACCAGGCCTATAAAATGGATTTTGGGTGGAGGAGAATCCAAGGCATTATTTTCAAGCTTTCTTTTATCAAAATGTCCCATAGTTTCGTCTTTTGTAATGTTGACACAAAATAGGAAAGGGCTTGAAGGTTTTAAAAAGCCTTTTTAATGTAGCTCATAAAGAAACATATTCTGAGATGTTAAGAATAACCAAAATAGGATTGGGAGGAAAACTAAATGCAGCATTTTTGTGCAGTTGGAACATTACTCTATCAAATCTTATCTTAAAATTTTGTGTGATAAAGTAATAAAGTAAAGTTTTGTTTAAGCCAAGGAAAATACAAAACTTCATCACTTTTTGTTGGCATCAAGTTATTCTGGATCTTTTTCTCCATCTATTTCCTAAACAAGCTGTTACTCCCTGAATGCGTCAATGACTGTTTCTGGGGTGTGCCATCACAATGATCTGTAAACTCAAAAATATATGGTTTATTATCAAAGCAAGAATTTCTGCTGTACTTGATTTTGTTTTCTCATTTTTGTTTTGACTATTATGATTAATTGGCCTCAGAATGTTATTATATTTCAACATTTAAGGGCTCATCATGGAAGCTTTTAAGATAAGTTCTACATAATGTCATAAAGAACCTAGTTTTTAATTTTGTAACTCTTATCCTGGCAATTTCACAGTGCATGAATGAATGCATTAAATAGAGTAAAGTCACATTGAATTACAACTTCAAATATCTATTTGCAAAATGCCAATTAAAGTGGCCTCTGACAAAAGACTATTGAGGGAACTCTTTGTCTTGGAACTTGTAACTGACCAGCAATAATATTCATAGTAACATCTGTTAAAATTGTCCAAAAATGTTTCCATTATTACACTCTTCAGAAACTTCCGGTTTAGAGTTTGAATATCCTATGAACTTTCAATAGATGATGTTTGGATGGTAATTTGGTAGATGAAATTCATTTTCATATTAAGTGGAGGTTTCTATTTGTTTGTTTTGAATATATTTTTCGGAAATTATTTGATTGAAATGGGTAACTTCTAAGTTGATTGTGAAATGAAAAAATACCTGAAATTGTAAAAGCCCAAAGAGCAGATTGCTGCCTGTGTATTCAAAGTGATATTTATACTTTTGGAACAAAGAACTAAGTGTATATCTTATTCCATGTAACATAACTCAGTAGTTTAACTATATAGGGCACTGGGCTCGATAAATCTTGCAGCTTTTTACCCTTGCATTATTATCATACACTTTGCAGCTTTCACGCCATGCCATTCGCCCTGCATGATGCAGATCATCAAACAGGGGTTTTAGAATTGTGAATGTCAAGGACAAGTTTTTGAAAATGCCCTTTCTTAGATACACCCTCTTTGATATTTGTTGCCGCTTTTTCTGAGACATGGTGCCCCTTGGTACCAACATGGTGACATTAACTAGTTTGGAAATCTGCAAACAATCTTTTGGTGGTACAAAACTTGAAAATGGCTTTGCAAAAAGCAAACATTTGAGTAAACTAAAGGCAACATTCTGAATAGGCAAGCGGCACTGATTGGTCAACCTCAACAGTAATGTCCTTGCCTGTCTGATTGGCCTATTTCGATCCACAACTGGTTATTTCCTAGCGTAGAATTTTCGATCGTTGTTCTGGCGTTTTAAACTCTGAAGAGTGTCAGACGAAAAGCTTTAGGTTAATCAATGTTTGCTTTTTTCAAAGCCATTTTCAAGTTTGAAAATCTTTTTTTTAAGATAATGTTTGAGTTATTTTTCCTGTGGTTGTTGGCATTTCTTCCACTTTTATTGAATCAGATATTTCGTTATTATTGTTAACTTGAGAAATCCATATTTTTTTTAGTTCTGGAAGCTAGCTTGAAGATTATGTTTAATTTGCAAATTTGATGAATGTAAAGAGGTAATATGTATATTTCCATGTTTTGCAGTGGAGAAAAAGATACTTCAAATTGTGGTCGAGCAAAAAATTGGAATATTTCAAACATGGAAAAAGTGAGAAGCCACTAAAAAAGCCAATTGACCTAAGCAGATGTAAGAGTATAGATGGAGGATTACGGAATAAAAAATGGGACTTTATATTTTGTATCAATACTGATTACAGAAAGTATTATTTGGTTGCAAAAACTCATCAATCCATGAATGACTGGATAGAGAAAATTTGTGAAATTTGTGGATTTTCAGAGCAAGGTAAACTGTTTTGTAATCATATTGATAAATTATATTGCTTCATTATATTGCTGATTTTGTTTAATTGTGCTGATCCACGAAATAACCGCCGAGATTTAGCGTCCAAAATAACCTAGAATTACTGTCCAACCGTAACCCTACCCCCTTGCTTGGTATTGGTCCGCATCCCCCCGGGTTTATGAAAATCCCAAGAAAGGGTTAATTTTAGAAAGGAAAGAGAATACCCCATGGCCCTGCTTGATGCTGATTATCTCAGTGCTTTATTCTCCGCGCAATATAAGCAAGATGTCTTTCATGTGTTTGTTCACGATGATATTAGAACTCGCTATTTCGTTGATTCCAAATCAGTTAGGTCATTTACAATTATGGAAATTGATAAAACATTACTCATTCTCAAGCGCCCACTGATGGTTGCACGATATCATTTAAACATAATGGTGTCGAACCATGGTTTGGAAAGTACGGTGGTTTGAAGTATCTATCCACTGGTTATTTGTGGGTTTTCTTTGTCGAACCTTATTGAACCCAATAGATTCAACTCATATCTTGCAGTACTGTAGCTCACGGATCGTGTGTTATTCAACTCTACTTTCAGTTTTTTAGAAACCGATAGCTATCGTTATTTGTTTTTCTTTTTTATAGAGCTCTTTAGGGAGAATCCAAGGAATTTCTAATTCAACTGATATTACTAGATGGCCAAGACTGTTTGCTAAGAATCATTTATGGTTTGAGCACGTGATCATTTTGATAGTTTCGAATATATTGGGTTACTGTAAATGTACGTCTTCGGAGCGACTTCGTTAGTTGAAGTTTTGGGAAGGCAAACAAACGAAAGTCTTCAAATGAGCGAATAACACCTCTTCCCTTCTTGGAGAATAAGAGCATTCGTAAAAATGACCAAGTCTAATATTATTTGCCCCTAAGAAATTCAGGGCGAGGGATTGACTCAAGTTTTCCAATTTCGTGTAGGGTTGATATTTAGTAATGTGTTTAATTATTTTGTTACTTACGGTCAATTGATCACGTTCTAAAACAAAATATCAATAGATACAAAAAAGGATCACCGATATAAAGGGTAAAAACATTTATTAAAAATTAAACAGCATAATTCTGCTATCAGATTTCACTTGACTATTTCAGTTTTACATCCAAAATAATCATAGAGTCGAAGCAAACCTAAGAACAACAATTTTTGTTTTCGAGATAAAATTTTTTGAACAGTCATGAAAACGAAAAAAGGTTATAGTTGAAAATTGTTTAAGATTGTTTTTAATAAGAGTTTGTCTATTTTAGTTGGTATGTCTCCAATCGAATCTTCTCCTACATCAATGTCCTTTATTGATTCACCTTTAATTGAAAAGAGGAGATTCGCTGCTGATGGGCCAACAGAGGGAAGTGCTTTGTCATTAGGTAGTCAAGATATAACAGGGGCTGTCCCTATTGACGTGCTTAGCTATGACAAGGAACTTCCTCCGTTACCAGACAGCTCAAGTAGCTCCGATTTTGACTCAAGAGAAGACGACACCAATTCACCTCAACCAACTTTTGGCTCGCCTTTTGGAATTCATGTTAAACAGTCAAAGTCCGACAGTCCTTGTGGATCCTGCTATGACATGGTACCTAAGCCACGCCTCGCCCCTGAAGGCCTCCCGTTACGCAGTAGCCCCCCAGAATCGAGATTATTTACTGCAACAGAAAGCGCGTTAAAGAACATGACAATTAAGGATGAGTCCTATGTTGATATGAAAGCGGACAACGGAAATCAAGATACACTAACTCATAACCATGTAAACGGTGTACGGTCCCAGCAAAGTAGCTATGATACGGTGCCAGCACCTAGACCCATTGTTCAAGCTAATTTCAGCAATTACGATCTCGTGCCGAATCCGAGACAAAAATCTGACGAATATATTAGTTGTGACATTAGCGAACGTGATTTCAAGGGCGATGGTGCGGAGGATCGAGAAACTGCGCCCCCCGTCCCTGACCAGACTTATAATGGCTTTGATACGCTTCCAAATGAAAGGCGGTTGCTTCAAAAACCAACGAGATCTAGTGAATGGGGTACGACCAAGCATGGACAGCTGTCGATGCCAGTGACTGGTGACGAAATATACGATGTACCTCCAACTGGAGGTTCTCTTTCACAGATGATATATGACACACCACCAGCGTTCAAATCTGCCAGAGAATATGAAGCTCAGAGTTGTGGGGATTCTATTTACGACACTCCGCCAACTGTTGAAACTCAGGATGACCCCCCTTTCCAATCTCCAAACGGACTTCAGAACAGGGGGTACCTCAGCGATTCCCTTTATGACATTCCCCCTCCATTTAAAGATAGGGAACAGACTGGTGATTCAATTTATGATATTCCCCCAAAGAGTCAAGAAGAGAATGAAGATTCAATTTATGATACCCCACCAAAGAGTCAAGAGCAGGATGTCCAGGATAGCCTTTATGACCTGCCGCCCAAAAGTGGGATCTCCAACGAAGTCGGTGGGTATTTCCATGCATTTTCTTTTTTTCATTCAGTTTTCTATATTGCCCCGTGGCTTATCGTGCCAATTTTTCGAAATAAAGTATATGCAAGTGGGGGAGGGGAACCCAGGAAAGCCAGAGCTTGAACAATTAACCTTCATTTTATGCTAAGTTAGTTAAAAACAACAATGATTAGTTTTAATTTGATCTAAGATCCCCCAGCGTTGTAGGCAGAAAATTGAATCATATTTTTAACTGCATTATTGGTTTAACAAATTTTTGATGATATTTTCGAGGTTTCATCGATATTTCTGTCGTTGTTTTTCTTGCGCTCGCGACTTTCTTTGATTACCCCGATGTTTGAAACTTCGAGAAGACCTGCCGCAACACTGATTAAACTCCGATAAACATATTTCCTTTTCCCCTTTCGATCTTTTTATTTTCTTTTCATTTTAATCTGCGACTATGTATTTTTCTAAAAACATTTCAAAATGAAATATGACTATGATTCGTATTCGATATAAATTCAAAACAAAAGTTTCTTATACAGCTTTCCATACTCATCACCAAAATATTGCTAAACTCTTCCGATGAAGTGACATCAGTTTGCCTAATAATTATAATAAAATAATATTATAACAAATGTTTATTTCAGTAGCTATTAATGATTATTTTTCCTTTACAGAGCCTATTTCTTCCCCGGCTGATTTGTTTAACTTTGGTTTCAACGTGCCCCCAAAAGTTGACAGGTCTTTGAAACATTCATCGACTGGCGGTTTGGAGATGAACAGAAGCATACCTCCTCCTGTGGATAGAAAGACACGCCCTGTTCTCACTGCATCTGTGCCCACCTTTCCTTCCGAGGTCGAGGAAAGTCATTCAGCAGGCACTTCTTCTGACCTTCGGTCGAATATGCAGTTGGATAGCGACTCTATTTATGACTGCCCACCTCGATCGGTAAGTAATTGTGTAGGTAGTCGAAATATAACTGGAGTCGTAGGTAAGATTCCCTCCGTAGATAAAATCTGTTCCACAGATAGTGTTTTTTCATAGATAATATTTCTCTTGCTGTAGTTTTCCTAAGCACCTTGAATTGGCAATTTAAGTTTGTGGTGACTAAAACTTGCCATTGCCAACCCATAATATTTCATGCAAAATCTCTTTGCACTTGTCGGTTTGAGATCTTTCTGAATTGGAGCGAAGACTTTTCGTTTTCATAACTTTCTGGAAAGTGTCTATAAGGAACCAACCACCAGGAAGAAGGAGCTAAAAAACCATTTTCTAAGCTTAGGAAATTATCTTTCCGCGTACGAATCCTTGGAAGAGCAGTACTGGTTTCATAATTGTTAATTTGGTCATATTATCTTCTATATATTTTAATTAGGACTAGTACTTCATTTTTGTAACTGAATGGATGTCGTGAATAAATAATATGAAATTAAATTAAATTTAATTGTTAGTACTTTTGTAAGCCATCTTTGAACCTGTTAAGTGCCCCCAAATAATTACTGAACTGTGTTTCTTATCAATATTTAAGATTAATTTGATGTATACCCATCCAACAGGCTTTGGGTGTACTGCCAAGCAACATAGAGCGGAAGAGTGCAAATAGACCATCGCTGCAAAATAGCTCTACGAACTACTCATCTGTCGACCCAAGATTGACTGCAGCTATTCAGAATGTAAGACGTTGAATCCGAGTGGTCTTAATATATTAATTAAAAAAGATATACCATTTATGTTCTTGAAAGAATAGGGTTCGTCTTTAAAGTCTGCTCTAAGTCGTTGAAATATTGAAATCAAGACTGCCATGGTATCAGCATTTAGTGTTATGGGCCGGGGTGAGTGGGCTGGCTATTTCTCTTTAAGGCTTATGTCTTTTGGACGTGTTTGGACATCAAACTTCAATATTTTATCATTTTAGAAGCTTTGCTTAATAAGGTAATGTAATATAAAAATGTCGAGATCGGTGTTCATTGCCCTAATGCATAATATAGAAATAAGTGGTAACCTTTAAAGTATCAAGAAAGTGCTCGATGTTCCAAAAGTGGACGCCAGTTTCTATATATCGATATCCTGTCCCATCTCAATTGATCCTAGAATGAAATGCAAGTACCAGTGAGCTTTCTAACGAAAAGGTTGTGTGCCCCTTTACATCATAGATTATTTCACTTCGTCTTTACAACAATTTTGGCTGTACCACGAAATATTGTTCGGTAGAAAATTCCACTGTAGTTGATAATATGTTAATATTTTCTTTATCGTATAAGATTTAATAGAATTTTATCGTTGAATGTTTGCAGTTTTGTAAATTAAAATTTTAGATTGTCGATTCTTGTGTTAACACCATATCATTATGTTTTTACTTTTTGCAAAATTGTTATCTTTGATTCTATTTATTCAAGATCCATTTTCACCTTTTCTTATCAGATCACCCATTGTATAACTGATCGAAGGAGCTTCCTTGGCGCCCGAAAAGCGCCCAATTAACCCCAAGATATTGTTGAGGCTCATTAACCCCAAGATATTGTCACAATTTGCTATTTTTGGCGTAAAAAGGCCACTATCGTGGAATATTTTCCGGCAGAAGTAAGCTGGATGTGCCTATCATACTGAGTTGAAATTTCAGTTTCATTTTCTGGACAGCGGCATTTTTCTCTTGCCCACTCCCCCTTTGTTCTAGGCCACCGGCTTAGGTAAAAGCACCCCTGATTATTTGCTTTTTCAGTCCTTCTAAAATCTAAGTGTTGCTAATCAATTGATATTTGGGATTCAAAACCCTTCTTGATCGCGAACAAATGATAGCGTTGGAATTAAATTATCGACTTAGTCTAGCTCTAGCTATCCATGATAAGTTTAGAAGGACCATATCATACTCAGCTTCAAAATCGTGAATAGTTTTTCTGTCAAATATTTGAATATTTTACATTTTTGATTTTAGTATTTATTGATTGTTAATGGATACTGTCAGTGAAATCAAAGTCGCTGTATTTGCCAGAGTAATAGAGAGTTATGAAGGACTACATCTCTCACTAATGTAGTAAAATTTTCTCTAATATGCATCTTATTTTGTAAAAATACCTCTAACTTAGATTATAAGATTATAACATGTTTGGAGAATTTCATATTAGTCTTCTTCTTTTCATTGCATCCTGCACAGGTTTTAAATTCTTTGCTTCTGGTGCCGTGGCCCGGGTAATTTAAGTCGTCTTGTTATGACGATTCAAGTTAGTACTCCATGTGTCACAGTTCCTTTTTTCTACACATACTGAGCACAATTATGCAACTTCGAAGTCCAAAATCTTTCCAGTCCCAACGGACAATTGTGTTCTTCAAAGGCATAATTGTACTTTTTGTCACTGCTCAGATTTACACTTATGACTGTTGGTCACCATTGTAAGTCTTTTCCATGTGAAGAGTTTGGTCTATAAGAGAAGTTTAGACTCCCTTATCAAATAAAATCAGAGTGCACGAGCATTTCGCTGTATATTTTTTAAGGTTGTATGCTCAAATAATTCGTGATGGCTACTGTTATCACCATAGTGTATCTTTTCTGGTGACGTAATATAATGCTCGATTGAAGCTTTTCTAGGATATTAGAGGCTACGTTTTGGTAATGTATAGTTCAACGAGTTGCATGTCGAATTAATAATCAACACAAATTATATCCTCAGATCCTCTTTAACTGATAAAGAGTTCTGCTTGAAAAGTCGCAACAAAATTAAACTCTCATGTAAAATGCCGTATTTTATTAGACATATTAATTTGTAGGCCTTGACTCCATACACCGTTGCTGAAGCGATGGTGATTTCCTTGAACTTAATTTTTGAACTGACAAGCATCTTTTTCCTTCAGAAAATGGCTGAACTTTCCAAATCTTGTTGTCGCTCTTCTTCTTCTAGGTTACTCTCCTACCTCATTTAGGACCTCTCAATGTTCATTTTCTTTTCCGCTTCCTTGCCTTTATTTTTAACCTTTTTTGTTCACGTTTTTGCTATCTTTCTTTCTTTCCTTCTTTTCCTTCCAGGAGTTGTCTCAAGGCCTGTGTAAATGATCTAATGTTTGGTCTATCATTTGATGCGACTCCTTGTGTGACATTTCGAGTTACTTTGTGGACAACACCGAAATGTAAGGACAAATGTTTGTTCTTGATAAAACATTGCCCAACATTCCAAAACACGTTTTTAGGTGTCCAGACATAGAGGGTATAGCTTACTTGTCAGACCAAGAGGGAGGGGGCTGAAGGGTCATCAAGAGTAAAATTTACTTACCAAGTCATAGATAAGAAGAACTTAGGTTCCATCTCCTTTAGAGACCGACATTTTTACCGATCAAGAAAGGATTTCGAGGACCAACAGAAATTTACCCACAAACTTTTGAACGATTGGGGGGTAAATCACACCCCCTTCACCCCTGCCCCTGCCTGATGGTTACGCCCCTGCCTGACCATAGATCGTTTGCACAGGGACTTCGCTCATGCTCAATCTTTTGCAGGAAGGGTGATGTCATCAGCGAAGCGCATGTAACAATTTTTCCTTGTAATGGTGCCCTTGAAGAATTTATAACCGCTGCAGTAGCAGAAGAGGGGTGGGTGTCTCCTTGACACACTCATTTCTTGATGTCTTGCTGGGTTGCTTTTTATTTGCGCAGTGCAATCTTTGTAACTTTCTTTTAGAACTTCAACAAATTCCCAAAGCACACATTGCCAATCAGCTGAAAACTACAACAAAAAACAATTTAAAAAAAATAACGAAGTCCGCATCAATTCATTACATTAGATGATATGATTAAGGAGATTGCAAGTTTTGGCTGAGGTGGCCCTTTGATGATGAAATAAAACGCTAAAGAAACTGATATCTATCATGTATGAAAATGTATGAAAATTCACAATCTTTACCCCGTTACCCAAAATAATGGTAAATTCTTGCCTTGAATGTTCCTCTTTGTATCCAATGACAACCGTTTGCGGTTGCTGTTGCACAGGTGTTTGCAACAACAACTACCTTACAGTTGCTGGACTAAATCGAAGAACCTGTTTGCTTTCAAAGAAGTTGTGTCAAAAACTGCAATTTATCGTATGATGGTTTAAAAATCTACGTTTTAGAAGCATTAAAGATATAGCCTTATCTTTCAAAAGGCTTCAGACGCCAAGATGATGGAATTAAGCTTAGCAAGGGCTGATTATCTCCAGGTAAACAAATGATTATCTCACAGCTCTAATCATAGCCAAAATTATAAAGGTCTTTAAGGGACACTGTACTTCCTTCATTCCAGTATATTACGTTGGTAATCTTTCAATCATCATTTCTTGTAATAATAAACTTACAATTGATGTATGACATTTGCTCACTTCACTTTTTACAGCCAATGAATAGAGATTTACAAAGTTGTTTACCGCGTGTGTGGAGCAGTGGCCGTAGCTAGTTTTGATTGTTAACTTTTCATGAGTTTTTTTGAAACGATGTAATTATATATGCTAAGATTTTGCTTTCATTGTGGATACATTAGGTTGGAGTTACATCACCAAAATCATTGAAAGTGCTTCATGGTGCATCTTCAAAAAAGGGAGCCCAAAATAAAGTAAGATATTCTGTGAGAAGTATCTGTATCTTAAAAGATCCTTTAGGAACCCAATGCAGATATGCAGTACAAAGCTGTCACTGAACAGAAAGCAGATTCGTAATGTAAAGCTATCCCTAAAGCTGCTTACATTAACCTTTGCTATAAAGGTTTCATCCTTGTAATTTCCCTATTTGTTTTGCTTTTGATTTCTTTGGGAATACTAGAGAAGTATGAGCTCTAAAGTTATGGTTTTTTGCACAAATATTGATCCCTTGACAGGCCCAGCCATATGAAATGAGTGATAGCTAGCACGCATCTCTTGTCTCCCTCCCCCTACCCATTTTTCATCTTGACATTTTTCGCTCTAAATTTCTTTGCCTGCCAAAGGTTTGTGTTATGTGTTGTTGTAGTCAGAAAATTCAACCTATTTAGAAATGGATAGGGAAGCAAAAATATGTTTTTAGTGCTCAAAATCTTTCCATGCTCTGTTCTCTTATCCCAACCCTCCATCCCCCCTGGGTATAAAGAGAAGTCTTTCTTTGAATTCTTGATAATGTTATCTCTCAGGTGGTAGGGCTGATTTAGATTGCAGGATACATTTCATGGTTTTTTATTGCTTTTATTACGGATAGAATCTGCTCTTTAAGTTATTCTTCCCTATCTATTATTTAATGTTTCTCTTCTCCTCTTATACCTTAGGTGTTTATTGAGAATTTTTCTTGATTAACACAATTATCTGTCTAGATTGTTATTGCTGATCAGGCTGGTGTATTGACATGCTTTGGAATGAAAAAAGGGAATTTACAGGTAGTCCAAAAATATTATCTGGATAATATTTTTTTGTTATCATTGTAAATGCTTTAGTATGCCACTAACTGATAATAATTCAATATTTATGTGTGGACAATTTTGTTTATTTATTGTAGACATTCTGTAATTTAAAGTGAGCAATAAATTAAGATAATTGTAACTGAATGTTAAAAGCAATTCTGTACATAGCTAAAAAACTGTTGGTTGATAAATGTTAAAAATGTTAAGCCAATAGTAATCCATAGTGATTTCTCAACTGTATGGTCCTTATTTGACTTTGCAACTCAGGTAATATATTTGATCTGTTGACCAACACTACATAATAAAACCCTAATTTCAGCCAGCTGTCACCACTGTTTGAGGAATGGGATTTTTATTCTTGTTATTTTATCATTGGAGTATCTTTGTAACAATTTAGATATTGTGCAGTGTTATTAATTTGCTCTTATCAATTATTTGCTACAGCCACAAAAACTATAAATTTTGATTGTGCTTGTTTTTGCAGATGGTATTTAAGACTCTGCCTGGGACAAAAATCTTGCGTGTTGAGCTTGGTGGTATTGAAGGCCCACAATCAGAGAAAATATTTGTTGCAGCTGGTGCTGAAATAAGGGCCTATACAAAAAAGGGAAAACAATTCTTGAGTTTCAACACAAATCTGACTGAGAGCATCCAGAGCATGTAAGCAAAGATTTGGAAGTTAACAGCTTTATGTTGCCTTTGTATAGCAAAGTATGTTAACAAACGTTTTTGCTGTTTTGAACTTCTTAACAAAACAGAAAGATGTCTTCACTCATTTTCACCATATTGGTATTTTAGCTTGGATTAACTTTCTCGTTCCACTTTCTTACTATAGAGATAGCTATGTGTTGTGCTCTCCCTTTTGTATATAAACTGCTTTGCAAAAAATTTAATTATCTTGGTAAAAATGTTAAAACATTCTTGAAATCATGATTTTGAGAACTGATGAGCTTAATTTATAGTTTGGTGATAGTGCAAATCATTCTTTGTTTGTCTATGAAATTAGAAATTTTTAGCCTTTAAAAATGATCAATTGTAATAAAAATGAATCATTTTTTGAATCCCCTACTTTTCACAGCCATGCAGCAATTGTTACATATAATTATTTGACACTTGTGTCTCATGACACTTGCATTCTTGGATGTATTACTGTCGTTCACAATATTTAAGCAGAAGTTGTCTTTGTCAAAGAGCTCAGATATTATTTTACCACCCAAGAAAATTATTTGTTTTGAAATGCTTCTATGAAATTCTTTTGGTTCAGCATTTTAAATATATTTATCCCATTTTTAGGTCTGTCTCAGGAAATGATTTGTTCCTTTGTGGCAACTACATCTTCAATCAATATCATGACTGCCAAGATGAGAACTATTTTCTGTCACCTGATAAGATCAATGACATTATTTGCCTTCCCCAAAAAAAGTAAGTCCTGATCTGATCATATTGGTTTTTTTAAATGATCGAAGAGCCGCACTATTCAGTTGATATTATTTGTTGTTTTGTAGCAATACTGCATAATGCTATGAGTCATTTTATATGTAAAGATAATTTTCAAGTTGACAAAAAGTTAAGCTGAAGTACATGCCAAATTTGGGCTAATCTGCTATTTCAATATTTAAAACAGAGTTCCTTATATAAATTAAACAGAAAGATTTAACACTCAAAAAAGCATTCTAGGCAGAATGTCTCTACTAAACATATCTCCATTGGCCATTTGGGTCTCCATTCAGTTGAACATTTTTGTTTCAAAAGTGGAGCATGCCAACTTTCTTGCTTTCTTTCTTGTAGCCAGTTCACTCCCTGTAACAAGAAAGAAGTTTTTACAGAAACCTTTTTTTGTTTTGGGGTATGCAAATGAAGGGGTTTTTTACATAGCTGTTGAAGGCTCTAATTCCCGTCTAATATGCCTTTTTACCCAGTAATATTAGAAATAAGATGCTTATCTTCTCTTTTGTAGTAACATGCCTATCATGCCAGTTCTTGCATGTCAAGACAGAGCTCTGAGAGTATTGCAGGTAAATTGTGATTACATTTTATAGTGTTATAATCATTAATTTGAAGATAGCACGAAAAAACAGACACATAGCATACTGAAGTACTTTTGTCTGATACTCTTCAGACTTTAAACATCAGATAATGACTGACAGCAAGCAGAAAGTTTAAATCCTGGTGTGCATTGATAACAACATGGAAGAAGAAAGACGCGTTTGACTAGTTTTTCACCGATCAATGACCACAAAGCTCTCACCTAGTTGAAGAGTCCAAGAGAAAAAACGAGCCCTTTCTGTCTACACAAGTTGAAATACTTTGTTTTGGTGTACACAGATTCCAAAACTTCTTAATTAAAAGATGGCCTTGCCTGCCCAATGATTTTGAAATTGTTGCCACTCTACTTTTAGACACACTCTGGATATCTCACCAAATGTTGACCAATTGGTGATTCACATTTATGTGTTCATCTGTCCTCACTATCCTATTCCCACTTGACCTCTTCATGTAGTATTTCGTCTGGAGTTAAAGGTCTGATCTTGAAATATAAATCACAGCGTGCAAGCAAATTCCATTATCACAATGGCGAAGTTAGCTTTTGGTAATTGGTGCTAAGATATAAAATTATATCAATAAGTTTTCCTTGTTTGGTTAAAGTTTGTTTTCTTTTGTCTGTCCAGAAATCTGATATGCTGTATGAGCAAGAGGTTTCTGGGCCACCAGTTGTTCTGGCTTTGAATGCAAAAGTTGGTGGTAAGTTTTGATTTTACTTTTGATATAAAAAATAAAGAAAGTAGCTTTGGGTAGCCTGCAGTCAAAATGTAGTTTTATTGAAAGGCTGTTAGATGAAAGATGTTCAAGATAATTTTTTACACCTTTCCAGACTCATGGAAATGTCATTGTCATTGAAATGGTAGAGCAACGATTTTGAAAAGTTATTTTTGGGCTGCATGACATAGACTAAACAGGAATCCTGAAATTGGGTAATTGCAAATAGTTAACATTAGGCAAACATTTTCTAGCCGCAACTCCAGAAGCACATCCATGTGAAGCAGGTGGGAAAACAACCCAACCTTTTTGCATGCACTGACTGTGTTTTATTTGCTATGAATAAAAATTCTTAATTTTCTAGGTTTTTCTTGTTGCTGAAAGATATCTAAATATGATTATCTATATAGTGTACTAATAAAAACCACTGTTTTCCTGGTCTGTCATTAATTACTCAATGCTGTGTAACTGTACACGTTTTTTGTATAGAACAGCAAGCATGCCCCTAGAAATCTGCCTGAATAGTGATGCAAGAACAAGGTCCTCCTTTGACTAGAGGATTGATTAGCCCATAGTTTATATCAACTATGATTAGCCTGGGTTAGGGAGTAAATTTCTATTGTTTACCAGACGTTTCCCCAAGCTAACATCTTATGTTTTCCATAGAATGTTTTGCAGAGTTTTCTAATAGCAACCCATCAGCATGTGGAAGTCCATATCGCTCATTGTGCTGTCTAAATGAAATTGTACTTTGGTGAAAGGGCAAAGTATTGTTTAGTCAACTTTTTAAGGATATAATTTAAAAATATTATCACTGTAATGTGATACCTCCTTTTTAAGGGGAAGGTCGCGATGAGGTTCTTTATGGAACATCCGATGGCAAAGTTGGTCTTGTTCAGCTTACAAGGTTAGGAAATTTGAAAATGAAAATTCTTGGAGAACAAGAAATGGTCTGATATTTATTTTGATGCTCTGATCGTAAATGGAATGATCCCCATCATTGTAAAATCGCGATAGGTCTAAAGCTACTAAGATTTTGTAAACTAAGAAACCTTCTTTATTGTGACAATCGAAACCTATATGTTTAAGCAATTACCCCAGGTAGGACGAGAAAGCTTGTTCTTTGGATCTAATTCTTATGACCATTGAAGAAAATTGTTTAGAATGGTATCACTAGTGTGCTTGCAAAATATGTCAAGTATATGTGTTGACTTATAAGTTATCTAAATTGTGATCATGTTCTTGTTGATTCATAGATGTAGCAGCAAAGAGTCAGTGCAATCATTGTTTTGTATCTGAGATAGAAAAGCAAAGTTAGGCCATTTTATCAAGCATATCTCTCTATAGTATTCGCATATATCTTGATTATACTTTTAGTGAAAGGCCGGAACATATTTGGGAAATACCAAATGATAACCGCTACGGAGGTAAGTGGCTTCAGACGAGTAACTGTGAATACGTATCATTTCTTTTCTTAACACTAATAGGCCTTTCTTGATCTTCATTTATTTTCAAGTGAATGTCCATTGTAAGACTGCTTTCAATATTGCTGGAAGTGTTGCATTAAATTTGTCAGAAAATGGAAGTTAAACCCTCGTTTATTTTTTTTAAACCTTATTCACCAGAAAAATGAATTTTATTCTGCAGCAAGCCAAGAGCTAAATCTTTTTTGTAAATTTTAGGGTCCCTTTAGCCTTGAGAACCTCGGGGAAAATACCGTTGAAGAAGTCATATATTTCCTGCAGTTTTGAAGCAAAATCAATGTATTTTCTTTCGACAGTTGTCTTGCTCAGCGTTAGGGAATTGTTTTGATCTCTAGAAGTTTCGCCCATGCCCGATGATTTCATTGTTTCAATTTTTTATTGATGCAGAGTTTGGCTTTAGCTGTCTATGAAATTTGCCCTAAGTGAGAAAAATGATGAAAATTCCTTGTCTTTTTTAAAGATGTTAGTGCTTTGGAAACCTTCGATATAACAGCAGATGGCACCCCAGATGTTTTGGTTGGCAGAAGCGATGGTATGGTTGAGGTCTATAGTGTAGAAGATGGTGGGGAGCCGACCCAAAGATTTAAGCATGTACGATGAATAATTGATAATTGCCTTTACATTTATTTTTTATTTAGTTCCTTCTTCGAGAATTTGCATCACAATAAATCCCAGGCCTTGGTCATATTCTTGTCTTCTTCAATGGAATGTGAGGACTTGCGTCTTTAAAAAACCAATCTATAAAACCTGAGCTGTGCTCAAAAGAACGCCTATAGGCTTTTAAGTAAAAGCATGCATCTAAAACATGTACATGCATTTTCAGAAGCTAAAATTACAGAAAAAATGCTTTTCGTTCTAAAATCCACTATCCCGATGAAGGCCCCTAAATCCGCACAGCTGCATTGCCTTTGATTTTTATCATGTAATAAGGTAACATAAATCTGCAGTGAATTCAAAGATACCTGATCTCCACACGTAGTTTTCGGGATCTTCGCCGATTCCTTCATGACTTTAGAGTGGTGAAATTTCATCTTATAAGTTGTTATTCATTATTTTTGCGGGGTGAATCTTTTGTCTTCGGGTTCGGTATTCTTTATGTGAATGGCTAGTCATAAAGTTTAGGGTTTTCTAGTTACAACTAGTGGTTATTTTTTAGGCAAACTAATTTGGAAAATTCGAATATTTCATAGCAAACTACTCATTATCCAAGTCTGTAATTACCAACCCTAAGTAATAACTGTTTTTTTTGTAGATGTTGTCAGAAAGTATCACATCAGTTCAAGGGGGCTGTATTGGCACAGCTCATTATGATGAAATTGTCCTGTCAACATACACTGGTTGGGTTTTGGGCTTAACAACTGAGCCACAGCAGAAGCGTGTTGGCATGCCAAATGCTGCCACAGTTACAGATGATAATAACATGACTGTCATGAAAATGGCCGCTTTAAGGTGTGAAAATATTTCGTCGCCCGTTAATGAGAATAGCTGGACTATTGTCAATGGAATTGTTTCAACGAGCGATTATTCTTCTGAATCAAGATATATTTTCAGAGCCCCCCAATAATTGTCAAACTGTAGTATGTTTTTCTTATGACAGCGTACTGAATGAGAAGGAATACAATGGGCAGCCCCACGCCCCCCCCCCCAATATGAATTTCGTTCCGACGGCACTGTGATGTAATCACCAAACATCCCCTAAAACCATAAAAAATGGGCGTTTTCAAGTCAATAAGGTATTATAGATTAAACGAAAGATTCTATTATGTAGAGTTCGAAATCTATTTAGCTCTGTGCTGAAATATTGACTATCCTATTTGTCTGACTCGTTATTTTGATCATTGTATTCTCAATGCACCATTGCTATAGTCGAAAGTATTGAGCTCAATGTCGCATGATTCAATTTTTATCATTGCAGTGCTGAAATTGAAGAGCTGCAGCAAAAAGTTCTCATGGAGAGGGAACGGTACCAGGTTCTCTCGCAATCAGACACTGCAGTTTCAGCTGTGCCAAATTTTTCGCTCAATGACAAGTTCTCGTTAAGTAGAGACGATGCAAGTTATACCTTAAGCATTGAAGTGGAAACAGCAATCGATACTGTACTGCTCCAGGTGAGGATACATGGTTAATTTGTATCATTGTTTATTCTGCTTTTTTCATTGTTAACTTTCAGTTTACCTAATTCAATATTTATATAAAGACCTGAAAATGGATTGCTCATGAATCAAGCGCGTCAAGTGGCTACCTTGTTTCCTCCACTTAAGTCAAGCCTTTTCTGTTTTATATGAATGTTTAACTTTTGCTGCATTCGCCGGAGGTGGGCGTAATGAAGTCTATTAAGTAACTGAAGGTTGGAAAACATAATTCTAGTGCTTAATTTCGTTATTTTGGTCTTTGTAAACTTCAAAGAGTTGGAAAACATAATTCTAGTGCGTAATTTATCTTTACGTATCGAGTAATAAAGCAGAGATAGATAAAAAGATGTTCATATCCTCCTTCATAGGTTTTATAGCTTGCATAGTTTTTCTAGTCTTCAGGAATTTACAAGAATCTGCTCTTTGCAGCCATATGTTTTCTATTTTGTAGAGTGATGTACCGGTAGATCTTTTGGATGTTGACAAGAATTCAGCTGTTGTAAGTTACAGCTCCTGTGATGCAGATGTAAGTTACTTTGTTGTTATGTTTTTAAGTAGTATTTAATTACCCTGATGCCTTACAGGGGTTTGTTTGGCCCCAAAAAGCTATAGCTTCCTGGCAGTGGCGCCTGAAGCCCAAAACGGTAGAGGGCAAACACTGAGTTAGACTGCCAGCCTGGGTACCCGAGTTAACTCAAGAACCAATCCTTGATAGTTTTCGTATCATCATATGCACGTAGGAAATCTCAACGGACCCAAGCATTGAGGTTTTTATCCCACAAACAATGGAAAATATTGAGCCTGTGTTGTGATGATCATGTGTCATGAAAATTGTGTCCTATTTTTTTCAAAAAGAAACCTTGTGTCTGTGATACTTTTTTCCACCTCCCTTCCTGTTCCATCTAGCAATAGTCAAATTTTATTTGATCCACTCCAAATAATGTTTCCAACAGAGTACTCTTGCACCCTCGTGTTTCCAATCAACCCTTCATTGTGTTGTCCCGAGTGAATTCTTTTTCTACCAATTTTCACCAATAGTTTTTTACATGATTCGATAAGATGTAAATTCATGCCGTTTTATAATTTAAAACGTCGTATAATTTTTAATGTCATGCCCTTCCCTTAGAGTGGCAATTTCTTGCTTGCGACCTATCGATGTCAAGCCAATACTACAAGATTGGAACTCAAGGTTTGAACTTAATTTGTAGCTTTCCAGTTTTCATTGTGAATCTCATACAAACCGAAAAATCAAAGCTTTTCCATATGTACACAAGAATGTGTTTACTCATCGTATTATAGGGGAAGGTCCATGAGCCTTTTGGGCACTGTGGGATGCATTTGCAAGGGACCTCAAAATTGGAATCATGGTAGTTATAAATAGCTGTAACTTAAAATTGCCATCAATCGCTTTAGAGGTCCTCTCCCCTTCTCAAAAAGTGTACAAAAATGTTAATATTTGAGGACTTACTTTGTTAGGTCAAATCTTGCATAAGCTGTTCCTAGCACCCATGAGATAAGAGAATCCTATTATTCTAATGTTAGGACTGATGACTAAATGTCAATATCATTTATAAGATCGAAGGTGACCTTTTGACGCAATTTTGTTACTAGTGCCATGAAATTTTGTTTGTAACCTTTCTGGTACAACAATCAGTACTCCTTTATGTTTGCAGATATGTCTGCTTTTCACAAGACTATACAGTTCCGTAACATTGCTATAAAGCTCTTTCTTCAAATTTTCACAATTTAGACTTCGTATGGATCATCAATAAGATCACAACAGGTTCCAATCTTGGTGGTTACAATTTTAGTTTGTTACGGTCTTTCAAATGATACTGTTTTCTTATGTTTATGTAATGAACGTCTCACTTGAAATCCACCCTTTTGTGCAATTAAGCTAGTCTTAGTAACTGTCATATTTTCAATCAATGTTTTTCTAGATCCGTACCATTGAAGGTCAGTATGGAACTATCCAAGCCTATATAACGCCACGAATTCAGCCAAAGACATGTCAACTTCGTCAATACCAAATTAAACCTTTGTCTCTGCATCAGAGGACTCATATTTTTGACGAGGAAAGGTACTGTTGTTTTCTTAAACGATTCTTTTTTTTCGTCAATGCATCCCAGTCTTTGGTTTGTTGTCACTATATTGTTAGGACGTTTAAGAGGATGCAAACTCTGGCTCATCATAACTAATGCAATAAGTAAAGAAAGTCAAAGAAGATTTACACATGATTTAGTCGAAAGATAGGATCACTCATTTTCAATGTCCTCGGGAACTTTGCTTTTAATTTGTTCTTTGTTGATAGAGACAATTTGAACACGTCTTGTGATTTCTGCTCGCAGGCCACATAATTCTTTGAAACTAACTGGTGCATTCAGCCAAGCGGAAGTACACTCCTGGATTCATATGTGCTTACCTGAAGTACCTGAAAGGTCTGAGAATTTTATTTGAATCAAAAACATAATTCATAATCGTAATAAAACGCCTCCCATTTTCACAAAAAAAGGATGAATCCCTTTATTTCACACATATTGTCATTAAAATGCCATACTCATAAATCTTGTCATGTTCCATCATTCTGAAAGATATGGTTACAAAACTCCCAGAGAAAGTCCTTTGACCTCAACTGGCCAGGCTGTCTCCGCTCATCCCCCTCCTTTATTTGCCATGGTCATGCTACTGCCTGTTTGCCAAAGAAATGATAACATGCGCCAAATTTTCAAGACAAATTATCTGCAACTGTTACTTTTGTAAGTTCTTGATAATTTCTGGATAATTGAGAACTGAATGTCTTTCTTTGGGAGCTTCTAATCAAAATACATTTCTTATTTGCCATTTTTTATGATAGCAAAAATATTTTTTTAGTAACACGGTATTTAAAGTTTAAGAATTATTTTATTACAAAACATTTCTCAAATTTAACTGCAAACGTGGTTACAAAAACAGGCACTTTGGATGAGGGACCTACTGTTTCCCGAGGAAGGCTCAAAGGCTCGAGAATTGGGCCATCTTCAATCCAAATCTAAAAGCTTTATCGAAAAAATTCGAACTTAACTTATCCCCCCCCCCCACCCTTCTCTACAACGCTATAAGGTCCCTGTACAGCTACTGCCGAACACCCAAAATTCATTCAAATATTTTTTTCGTTTTTAAGGTTGCTTAGGATCACTTCCGTAATGCTGTGTTTATCAATTAATTTATTAAAATATAGTTAATTCCTATTACTAAATCGCTGCAGAACACCACCTGGCGATGAAGTTACTTTCACATTCATGTCTACATTCCTTGAAACCCATTTGGAATGCAGCTACAGGTAAGAGACTGTTCCCAAATATTTATTTGTAAGTAAAGTGTAAGTTACCTTTTCGTTGAGAACTTTAAAAATGCCTTTCATCGAATAGAGGAATAAAACTTCTCCTTGGCTTCTCATTACAGCTTCTACTTGCACCTTGTTAATACTATAGTCTATACTTCACTTCATTTAACACAATGGGTCACAAGTGTTCAAAAAGGCCCTCATAGTCAGGATTATGCCCACAATTTTAAAAGCGTTCACAATAATTAAACATTTGTTTCAAAGTTCAGCAAAGCAAACAAAAAGGGAAAGTAGGTTTATGTATCTTGCCCACCTTACAATATTCAAGTAAATTGCACCTTGGATGTAATAAAGCGGGGTGAAAAAATAAAGATATCGAAGTTGAGTACGATGAAAGTATGACAGAGGACGATATAACAATTGTTGAGGATGGTGAGAATGTTTGCGATTGCTAAAAGAATTTAGTTGAGAAGATGTTATACTGTTAAACTTCGTAGCTATCCCTTACAACACATTCTTTTTATATGCTAAATGTTTGTGAACAAGACATTCTGTTTTCAAATCGTGAAAAACTTTGATACGATTGTCGATAGTACAAAGATTTTGGACCCCAAAAAATTTCAGGCGGTAAAAATTTCGAGCGGTAAAAATTTCAGGCGCTCCAAATGTCCAAAATATTAATATCCGAAATTTTTGGCTTCTAATGTAAAATTTTGACTTTAATGATTTGTTGGCTTTCTCTTTCTCTGTCAAGGGCCTGCTTCCAACTCTAACTAATTAAGCAGTATACAGTAAAATTGAAACTTTCGGACAAAACTTTGTCCAAAACTTTAATTGAAAAAACTACCCTAGAAACTGCTTTCGATTATACTCATACTTTTCTTATAGATGTCTTATTTATATAAACATATAAATAAATTATAATTTTGGCTCTTAACAAATAATTTCTTGTGGTTTACAGTCATGGCCTTTAACTAAAATTGTCTCTAGTGCCTCATTCTGATCATCAACTTCTTGGTCATAGTTTCCTAGTTTCCTTCTTTTTTTTCCTTCTTTTTTTTGAGCAGTCTGCAAGGAGAGTTTTTGTGATACACATTAATGCTGGACTTTTATCAATGTCTCACATTATAGTAGGTTCAGCCACTTTGGTTCCTTACCAAATTTCCGTAGAATTTGTTTTCAATAATTATTCGATGTTTTTAAGAGTATGCTCTGGGAAAATAAGCTTGGGTGCATTTTGATTTCCGATGGGTGTTGAACGAAAATGATGTTATGAAACTTGCACCTTGAAATCATTCAAGCTATATGTCATTTGCCTCAAAAAAAGGTTCCATTGATGTTTTAAGTTCTCCCCATTTGTTTAGTTCTTCTAATACACCATTATAGTTTAAATAGTCCCAGATTGATTAATGTACAATCGCAGTTGGTATGGTGTTAGCGCATATTTTGGTATGATGTAAAAAGTGTTTGATCTTAAAGTATTTATGTCCAAAAGTCTGCAAAAAACATGTCAATAGCTATATTGTTATAACTAATAAGGTTGTTATCTGAGGCTATTTTCGCAAAGCTTAACTGTTCAAAAGTTTTTGGTTTTTAACCTTGAATGTTTTTCATTTTGCCATTTAATAATGAATCTGGCTCCTGTTTTTATGCAACTGTTGTCAAGTTATTTTAAGTTAGTAAGCTACTAATTGAAACTTTTGATTGTTTCAGGAAGGGCCAGGCAACCTTCAGGTCAGATAATATATCTACAATCTCAATTCTGAAAGATGTCTTATCAAAAGAAGCAACAAACCGAAAGATCAACCTGAGCATTTCATATGGTAATATTTGATTATCGTGTAATTATATCCAGTGGCGGCTCGTGACTTTCACAGTTGGGAGGGCAGACCATCAATATTGCGATAATCGATAGAAAGGTCGAGCTTCAAAATTTTTCACTGTATTCATGGTTCGGTGTTGATCGTCATGGAGCGCAGAAGAAAAAGCATATATAGATGTGGTTGTTGTTTAGCGATGATGTCATTTTATGGGCAAAATTTTTCTTGCCCCGAATTCCTCCAAATAAGCCAATCACAGGCCGCGTTTCGCAATGCTTGTGCGGAAATTAGGTGGAAAATTAGCTTGTGCGCATGTCGGCTAGGGGCAAGAAAAACTTTGCCCGTAAAATGACATCATCGCTCAAGGCACTAATGGGCCAGAAACGAGGCTAAGGACGAGACGGGATAGCAAGGAGCTTTTTCTAGAAGAGATACAAACTTATATAATTAACCACAGTAAGATTATCTTCAAAATTAAATATGAATATCATAGATTTCCTTTGAATCTTTTTGAGGGGGCATTGCCCCAGATGCCCATTAGCAAGAGCCGCCACTGATTATATCAAAGTTTCTGCTAGATATGGGTCATGATGTTAAAGAAGTTCCGATTGGTATATATACATTTCAAAACCATGAAATCCTTCTTTTTGGCCCAAGTTGCAGCAAAAGGATTTACTTTTACAAATATTTCAAAACTCTTTATTCTCTCAAATTTCTTGAGTTTTGAATGCACAAATTGATGTTTATTATAATTGAGTCTGCTGCCTGATAAATTGTATGAGTGAAGCAGTAAAGTGTAAAAAAGCAACACCTTGGTTTCAATGCATTCATTACTCTGCTCACTTTTGTTTTAACAGAGCTTAATGAAGACTCAATTCCTAATGTGCTGAGAAGGATTCACCCTAAACTTGACTATCAGCTTCTTTTGGCAAAGAAGGTCCAACTAGTTGATGGGTTAAAGGTATCTTACTTCCTTGTATATTTCTGGGTTAATTTCAATTGCTTTTTTGTACCAGATGGCTCTCTGTTTTACCTCCTTAACGTATTTTATGTTGCTTTATGTTTGGTTTATACGGAGTGGCAATGTGATGACCTCATAAAATACCTCTAATATTGAAAAATTAGCTACATCTGTTGCAGATTTTCTGTGACATGGACATAGTCCAAACCTTTTTGTAAGAAATAGCCAATGCAAAGTGGCCCTGCACTTGCATGATTTCTCTTTTGTGAACAATTGCTCTAAAAATGATAATAATAATAATCAATGCTAAAACTGTCCGTATTGTTTATAAAAACCATATGATCCCGTTATAAGGTACTTTTGCGTAAGGTAATGAAAATGAATGGTTACAGTGATCTTTAATGCACTCCAAGAATGATTAAATACCTCCCCAATATAAATGACTGTGCTATGTTTAAAAATTTTATCTACATCACAAAGTTCATATAGAAATTATTGCCAGATGATTGCTAAATGTTGTTTCAAACCCTTTTTTAAAAGTGCTTTAACTGCCCAGATAATGTTCCAAGTGCTAATTAGTTTAAATACTAAATGCCTATAATATTCCTAAACATTTGCGATGGAATTGTTTTTCAAATGCATTTTTCCATTGAGATGTGTTTAATTCAGCTTACTTATATTTCCTGTGTTTTGATATACCAGCCTTGTATCATCTATGTCTGCAGTGGCGGCTGGCACGAAAATAAGATGGTACTAGAAAAGCAAAAAAATTTAGCAGAGCGAACCAGCTAGAGGAAGAGTGGCGCAGGGGCGTAGTCCCTAGTAAATATTTGTTTTTATAGCTAACAATATGGCCAAATTATCTTTCTATGGCGGGTCAGAAGTTTTCATAGAATACCTTCGTTTGTTTGACGTCATGTGATATTGGCAGCTGCAGGGATTAAATAGCCTTGCGGCATTTTATCACTAGAAAGAGGAATCTAGTACTGCGAACGATTTTTTCATTGTTTGATTATCGAAAGACAAACGGTTTTACGTCACGTCGAGTCACAAATGACAATAAGACAGACTTCGGCAGTACTGGATGAATGAGGTCTAGTACTGTGGTGTACATAAAGGGTTTATTCAATGCCAATCTTTTAATAAGAATTAAGATGAGGAGGGTCAGAATTAAGATATCGTGAATTCCGCTTCCCTTCACTTTTTTGTCATTAATTCAATTACCATAGAAAAAAGGAAAAATCATACAATACAAAAACGTTTCGAGCTTTCAAAATAAAATGGTACTAGACTGGTACCACTAGTACCGCTGCAAGCCGCCACTGCGTATGTCTAATCCTTGAGTCACAAATAATGAGTAGAAACGATTATGAAATATTGATTTCTTTTATAGGAGCTGCAAGTTTATGAGAATGATACAAGTTTTCTTGGTCAGGAGTACCAAGAGATTTTGGGTAATGTGTTTGACGATACAGTTAAATGATTATTAGAAACCAAACAAAATCATTTGCTAGGTGTTATAATTCACAAATTTTTAATGTATTGGATGCCAAATAAGCAGTGAGTTGTGATGCAACTAAATGTAACCAAGACTAGAATTTAAGGGGATATCCATCAAAATAATAAAAAAATTGCCATCTTCAAGGATTCTATGAGAGGCTCATCCCACTGAAGTCTTTACATGCAGAACAGCTCAGAAAAAGTGTATCTATGGTATCCTGTTTTTCTTGAAGTGCAAATCTTTAAAACAATACCTTGCTAAAGACAGATCTCATGTTTCAAAAGAAAAGGTCAAGGATACCAATGAAGTAGGAAATTTCTTAAAACCACAAGGTAGTTTTTTCCCCAATTCAATATAGGCTGCACTCCAGTTTCTCTCGAAGTTGCAAAATGCTTCATTTATCATTAAAATAGCATATCATTTTTTGCTATATTTCAGAAAATTCAGAGCAGCTTCTTGAGGAGTTTAAAAAGCAACCATGCCACCTTGAAAGGCTATATGGTGAGAATTGGACTGTTTTGCATCATAATAGAAAACTTTAAGCCTTTTGAGAAACAAAGTTTATTTCAATTTACTCTTTTTTCTTCCCAAAAAAGGGCAGGCTCACCTTCGTGGAAAGAGCATAATGGTTTGAACTCTTCTGGTATAACATAACAGTAATTTATGCCCTATTAAACATTAAATTTCACTGATACTTAAAAATCCTGCATGAAATATAAAAATTAGTGCATTTTTAATTTTTCTACCTTCATTCAGTGATGTTTTAATGACTTTTGGTATGTATCTTGTTTCTTTTCCATACTTTATTTAGTGCTTGTGATCTATATTTATCTTGCTGACATTTTCCATTCATAGGAATGATCACAGATCTTTTCATTGACAAACATAAGTTCAAGGTAAATTTTTAAATTCAAAGTTATTTTATAAGTTCACACTTCCCTTTTAACCATTATGGTCTTGTCATTCTTTTTCTCAAAATGTCACTTAACCTTGGAATTTGATAATTAAGATGATAAGTTAATTTCTGACCTGTTATCTTTATCATAATTTTGCAGGGGCAGAACGTGAAGAACAAGGTGACAGCACTTATGGGGATATTGGATAATTATGACTTAGACACTTTGATTGATTTTTTCCAAGAGCACTAAATGGAAATTGAAAAGTTCTGTTCCAAGTACCTTCTATCCAAACAGCAGTTTATGACAAGTTTCAAGACTTACTACTTACACAGGCACCCAATCTCCATTCCAAACAAGAACTTTAGAATCAAGCTTCATATTAAAAGAGAGCACTGGGAGGAGAATGATGTATATCAAACCTTTTATTAATTGCAATGCCAATTAATTTTGCCCAAAAGGTTGTATTCCTGTGAAAAAGGTGATATTGCTGTTCCACTCACTTTAATGAAAAAATAAATAAAGTGTAAATATACAAATAGGTTTTGCACATAGAAGAAAATTTTAACATTTAGGAGGTAATAATACAGTTGATGTCAGTATGAGGTTCATTGTTAAGGTGAAAAAATTCTGGTAACTCTTTACTTGGTGTCCCTCTTTTTCAAGTGAATAAATAAGATTGCTACATTACATGGTGAAGAAATATTTTCACATCAATGTGTATGGATGTTGTGGATCAAACCACAGCACTGATAATTTGAGGTCATCAGCCATATAAACCACGGACCTGTCCAGTTTCAATTTGAAATATGAATGAAATTTAAATGTTGTCAGGGCACCATATGATAATCATTTTTCATAGTTCAGTCTTTTAAAACAAATTAAATATGAAAAATCCAAAAAATAGACAAATTCATGGTAGCAACAAGAAATGATCTTCAAGGCCAAGGATGGATCCAGAATAACTCCGAACTGCCACACAGGCAAAAGCCTAGACAATTTTCCATGCCCTTGTTTTTCAGAAATGCTGAGTTTGAGCACCAATTACAGACACCTTTATGTTCAATTGTTTTGGCTTGAGGGCTTTGTTGCAGAATGTGAGCCCAAGAAAATACCAAAATGCCTGTGTCTTACATGTATGAGACATGGAAGGTCTTACATTGAGGTCTATAGCCATAGAACATTATAGCAAAAAATTAATTCATAATGATACACTGTAGATATAATATGTCCTCAACTATAAGCTTGAATACCCCCATTACATACTTAAATAAAAATCCCTATACATAACTTGAAAAATTTGAAATTGTCGGCTGGTGCAAGTTTGTGCATACAGGCTCTGTCCAATTTACAGTGTTATGCACTTTGCATAAGTGATCTTGATACAAGCAAACAAATTTGTGGTAAACATTTAAGAAACAGACGACATAGTTTTTCTTACAATCAATTATTTATTAAACAGTATACCAGATATGCTACACACATGACTCGAGAAAGTTGAGCTTTGAGTTCCTTAGTACAAAGTTCGCGATCTAACATCTTGTCGTCGCACACAAACAAAGGCTCCGCCACAGCAAAATACGGGACTATAGGAGATTTTATATAAGGCACATGATTCTTACTTTGGCCAAACATGCACCAAACAATTTCAGAAGATGTTAGATGCATTATTTCTTACTGCTTTCTCCGCTTCTTTTCGCAACATCCCGGAGCAATGATAATGTTTTTCGTAGTTCCGTTTTCACGTGTGGAACATTATGGTAATTTTGTTCTATAAACACTCCTGATGCTACACCAATCAAGGCCCCGAGCATTAAAGTTTTATTTATGTGTGATATAACGATTCCAGCTGTAAATCCTTTCACAAATGTCCAGTCAAAAGCCTTCTTGTCCTCGGTGTCCCCTTCGTCAGACATATTTACCAGCTAGGCCAGCAAAAATGGCAGCAGTACTTCATGTCTGCTTTACCAAGCTTTCAGCAGACGTCAGCTAGACGTCACCATAATGTTATTGCGATTTTTTACCACATCATCTTTAGGTGCATGTACTACAGTTTTTGGCAATCTGTTCCATGTTTTTATGCAACTATCTGTAAAAATTATTTGCAAAAATTCGATATTGGGCAAGACTTCTTCAGCTTAAGATAATGGCCACAACACAAATATCTTTGAACACTTTAGCAAATGACCAAAAGCTAGAGTTAGTTGGAAAAAACTCAGTTATTTTTGGGAAGTTGATTTTAGATTGATTTTTTGATTAATTTAGTGGTTAAAAATCATTTCTCATATTTTGGGGTCTAGGAAAACAATATCGAATGTTCAACTTTGAACGAGGTCAAGCCAAGTCCCGACATGTTAATGCTATAGAACACTTTCTGTGCCAGTCCAGTTTTCAAAAGCTTCAAACCTCTATTGAGGGTGTAGAATGGGGGACATTGCTAGTCAGTAGTCAGACGATAAAGGGGTTAAGTTAGCCGAAATTTTTTTTAGTACAGAACTCCTGATTCTAACATTGTTTCATATTTTTGTATGCAAAAAGAAAAATGCTTATGAGTTCTTAATTGAATTTTGACTTGAAATGAACGAAATGAATTTTGACCTAAACGTCCTGTGGCAGGCTACGTTTAGAAACCGTTATCCTCTATAATACGTAGAGCAAACCGCTGCTGGTCATTAGTTTTGGGTTTTACAGATAATTACGCAGGTGCGCGCCACGAATTTGAAAGTGGGGGAGGGCAAGGCTGGAAAAAGGAGGGAGCCAAGGCTTTTTACTCCTTTTACTGCAGCTTTAAAACTACTTGTTTGCAAGAAAGTGGGGGACATGGCCACCCCGGCCCCCTGTGGTTCGGACCCTGAATTAGTCGCTAGTCAGTTGGCAAACCCCTTCTACACCCTCTCCTTTTTTGCAAGTTAAGAAAATTGGTTGCCACGGTAGCCGAGTGGTTAAGGCGCCCGACTGCCATGCCAGCACTCCGAGTTCGATCCCGGCTCGAGGACGGCCCTCAGTTCACTCAGCTGAAAATGAGTACCTAGTTGAAACATACTAGGGAGGTAAAAGCGGCGTGGAAAGAAACTGGCCACCCTACCATACAATGCCGTGGCCCAGGACGATGCGCCCCCAATAGTGCATTCCCCAACGCTCAATATCGAATACGGGACCCAAAAAAACAACAATTGCAGAGGTATTCTGCAAGTAAAGGAAATTAATATAGGTTACAGACGTGTCTGTTTCCATTGGAGATTCAGGTTTTGTTTTGCTTATTTTTTGTTTATCAAAGCGGTATTTCAGAAAAATTGGACGAGAAATATTTTGCAAACGTTATTCTAAAGAGAACAAGGGAAACTGGGCTCTAAGCTTATTCAATCATAGGGTTACCAAGCATCGGGTATCCTGTGGTTTCAAAACAGTCAAGATTCTACCATGTCATCTAGCTCAAGAAATTTTTTTGAAATTTGGCCAGGAACAGGGAAATCACCGTAATTTGTGTAAACGATATGTCTATAAAACCATTGACTATTTAAAACGTTGTGCTTGGCAAACAGTTAATGGCAAAAACTATCATGAGAATGGCAAAAATTATAATACTGCAAAGCTCTATTAATCCCGGTGGGCTTACTTATTTTTCAGTCCTAGAGGGAAAGTGCTTGAAAGATAGGAGGTTTATTAGAAAGGAGGACTTATTAATAATTCAATGTAAAAAAATGTTATAAAAATGCCCTTATGCATTTGCTGCAAAGAAAATTGCATACAAATGTTCTCAAAAAAACTTTGCTAGCAGCTGTGTTTTTGATGAAACTCTTTGTAATCATTTTCGCTATAACGTTGAAAGAAAAGAGCCAGGGAGAAAATAACAAAATGCCGGGATACCAGAAGAAAGCAAGCAAAGCCTTGAGTATCCCGGGCGAAATCGGGAGAGTTGAAATGTCTGAAAATCAATAGCTCCCCCTACAGGGGACAGAGGGGCTCGTGACCCCACAATAATTTAAAATATCCACAATAACTTGGTATGCATAGACTATATGTATAACATATTACATGTCTGCTGTTATTAGTTGTACCATTTGTCTTACCCTGGGTACCAGAACCTTTTTCGTTCACTGAGGCTTTAGTTTGGTACCCAGGGTACATTTGTCAACGTCATAAACCAACGCCCGCTCCAAATCATACACATCTAGTTACGCCAGTTATGAAAATACAACTCTTTTCGACCAGTTACTTCACTTCAAATTTGTTACATTAGAGTGTTTTTGAAAAAATGTAGGGCATAGGCTTTCAATTTTGTGAATTTGGCCTTCAGCTAATGTTGACTACATGGCTTTTTGAAGATCACATTTTAGAACCTCAAAAGAATCTCTTTGTGTTTTTTGTTATACACTTTCTTTTCTAAGAATACCTATATTTTTTGCTGTCCCTCAATATTCTTATGAATTTGTGATTCTGAGCCCAGAAGTGTTCTTAGTCATTATTTAGGTTGAAATCACCTCCTTAAGGTAGATGACAAAAAAATTGCCCTAGTGTTGTCATTAACGTGATCTTGAATGAGGACAAGGCTTACTTATCCTATAGAAATAATTAATTATTTATGTGTATAAACAAGATAATAATAAATCTGTGTTATTAATTCGTTTGAAATCGATTGCTGTAATGAAATTGGCCACATGTAGATGCAAGCTTCTTGGATATTCAAAGCAGAGATGTTAGGCCTCGACCTCAACTGTAACTTAATGAGTTAAACCAGGCAGATGTTAGGGAAATTGTTTTCCTGGATTTGTTATCGAAAGAAGAGGAAATGAGAAGAATTAACGAGGAGTTTCTTTGGAAGATAGCACTGATAACTGCCGAAGTAGGGTGATGAATAAATACGAAATATTAGGCGTTGTTGGAGAAGGTAGGTAATAGCTTTTGTCACTGTTGAGTTTGAAAATTTTCTAAAAAATACTATAGCAACTATAATTGTCATACTCGTAAAACGCTACAAAATGTATTCTCGAAAACCCAACATTGAGTTCCATATTATCTGCTATCTTGCTAAAATTAGAGATAACGATTTAAAACAATAAGAAAGGTCATGTTTTGATTTGACTGTGATATTTTGACTTTTGACAAGGTGAATACAAATTGGCTTCCTATAAATTTTCATACATGTCTTTACAGAAACCAATTTGCATCAAAATTTGTAGTCATATTTCTGATAAAAATGCGTCTCTAACCTCTGTTGGCTGCTTTTTTTAATTTCCGCAATTTATAAAACTAGTTAATATTTATTTTCAGGAGCTTATGGCGTTGTTCTTAAATGCAGACACAAGGTTTGGCCCTTATTTTCTATTTTCATTAAATTTCGAATAGTGTTGGGCATTTGAACCAAGGGCGGTCCTAGTTTTGAAGAAATAAATACCAGTTATTTATTTGTTGAGCTATATTATGCAAGATGCAGTAATGGCAACATACAACTGGCCTAAGTTTTACACAACATTTGGAACAACATTAATATTGAGGGGGGAGAAAAATCTATTGAGAGTAGAGAAAGGCATCTTTTGCTACCTCTTGAGCACTTTCTTATGAAAAATACTCTTTATTATGCAGTTTCACATATCTAAGATGCTGTTGTACCCAAACCCTAACTTCATGTTTTGTACAAGTGAGAGGGAAAAATCGCAATAGCACAAGTTATTCCAGGTCTGCAGCCTCACCTCGACACCCTAACCTCAAGGATCTTATCCATGATAACATTATAATCTGTTTTAACACTATCAGTGCAATGTTACTACAGTTTTGATTCCACTGCATATAAGGGGGGGGGGGTTCTGAAGGCATGTGTCCTTAAATTAGAACTTGCATATTCAAATGGACAAGTGTTGTGTAACTGCAAAGCACAAAATTTTGTGAGCTTCAGGCAAAAATGTTCCTAATAGAGAGCAGCCATGGCATACTCCACATCTGGATATAAATTTTTGGCTTATTTTCAGCCATTATCCAACATTTATGCTCTGAACAATGCCAGGCCAAAAAATTCATTATGCTACATTTTGGCTACTTTGTGTCATCTAAAAAAGTCATTGCTAGATATAATTTTTAGATATCTGCCAAATCAGAACCAAGAAAGTGAAGCACTTTAGTTGCTTCTATCCATCTGCTTGCAGAGAAAACAATGATAATTTTGTATTTCAGAGGTCAATTTCTAAGATTCCAAGACATCTATACATTTCACTAAATGATTCAGAGCATCCAGGATCATTTAGATTCATAAATGTTTTAGTGTATGAACTGTAATTTTTGATTTACTGAAATAAGTTTGTATGGAATTAAAATATATTCCAGATTTAGGGACATCTGGCTCAAATGCTGTTAAGATCACTTGAATTATTCATAACCTGTTCCATTTTAATAATGGTCTCTTGATTTTCTTTTTGTTAGTGAATTGATTTCAAATGTAGGAGAAATATTAGCTTGAAATAAGATTGCTCATCCAAAACTCAAAGACAGAATTAGAAATTAATGAGATAACCCATGGATTAATTCATATCCACTTTAAATGAGAAGTAAGGTTTACAATAGCTACAAATACATTACAAGAATATAGAAAATAGTTATGATGAGGAATGTGGCTTATCCATATGCTGCCTTTCAATGCAAATAGCTGGTTTCTTTTTCAGTTGTCAATTAATTAATGAAGCAAAATAAGCAGGCTCAACTGCCTTTCTTTCTTTCCATCCTTGCAGGATAAAGTTCTTTGCCAATCCTAAGAAGCTCTTCCAATTGTTTACCACATTCAACCATACAGTTAAGATCTTCTAAATTGCTTCTGGTTGGCTGGTAGTATGAAGTATGTAAATCTTGGACGAGATCCATGCATCAAATTTTTATTGTTTTCTAATTATCTCCTTTTTTTCAGGAGTCCAATGAAGTTGTTGCCATAAAAAAATTTAAGGATAGTGAAGGTACATGGTTTTCAATTATTGATAATATCTCATTGATAATGATGTGATAAATTTTTAACTACCAACTTTAAACTGTTTTTCACTTCTCGTACTGAAAGTATTCAAATTGCTCACTGGTTACAGGAATGAGTCCTTTCAAGAAGACAAGTCTTGCAGAATGCATGTAGAAATAATTTTTTTAACTAAGTTCTCTCAACTTATGAAGCAAGCTTATCATTTCTATCCATTTTAAAACCAAAAACTGTATTTCAACTTATACCTTTGGAAACTTATATATCAGACATCTGGTAAAAATCCCTCAAATTGTTCTTTAAAGCAAATGACACTAGGCACTGGATGTTTTTAACAGTTATTTCATTTCAAAATTTTAAGATAAAATTTACTATTAGATAATGAAATTATCTATAATTGTATGCTTTACTTTCAGTCATGGTCCATTACATTTGAATATTTAGTTAGCAAAAATCAGCTTTAGAAACCTCAATCATTTTCAACTGTTTGAACTTTTGTTTACAGAAAATGAGGAGGTCAAAAGAACCACACTAAGAGAGCTGAAGGTTCTGCGTATGTTAAAGCAAGAAAACATTGTTGAGTTAAAGTATGTACTTTACCTTGTCATGGTCTCCAAATCTGCAAAGTCCAACCGAATATTAAGAGTAACAGAATAGGGATGTACCGGATATCCGGTAGGCCGGATAATCCGGCGCCGGATCGCTGATTTTTTGAAAATCCGGTTCCGGCCGGATTTGTTTCCGAAATCCGGCCAGTTGCCGGATTTTCCAAAACTTTAATCAAAACTAAGAAAATTTGGAAAACCAAGTCAGATTCCCTTCATACAGTGATCAAAAATGGATTTTCCAGAACTAAACAATATCGATGATAAAACAAGTGCCTTGAAAACAGATTTGAAATGAAAGTGCTCGTCATCACGAAACAGGAAGACTGGATGATATAATTCACAAATTTGATCCAGGGTTGCCAGATCGGCTTTTTAGGCCAAATTTTTCATTTTTGGTTTTTAGATTTAGATTGCCTGGAAAAATTTGACCTTGTTGGCCTTTTCAGCAGACGTCCAAAATTAATAAGTAATTACTACATTCATAGAATAGTTAGTAGTTAACTACAAAGTGTTAACCAAATTTCAAATTTTATCACCTAACCTAAATATTATCTTGATATTAGCAAAGGGTTTTGGAAAAAAGTAAGATTCTTATCAAAGTTAAGAAATTATCTAACAGGCACAAGCGTAGAAATATAACCAGTGCCTGCTCGATGGATTCTTGAGAGTTTTTGATTTGGCCTTTTTATGAGCATTTTGGCTTAAATTGCTCACCAGTCTAGCCTTCGTTTGTAAATTCAATCTGGCAACCCTGAATAGGTCTCTTTGATCTTCTCGCTATACATTTTTTCGCAAAGTGGCTCAAAACTTTTTATTACTTAAAATTCTATAAATGGTCAGATTATCCGGTAGAATCCGGCCGGATATTCCACGAAGAAATCCGGTAAATCCGGTTCCGGCCGGATTCTGAAAATCCTGATCCAGTACACCCCTATAACAGAACCCTCCCCATCTTTTTGGTATTTTCCCAGATCTAAACTTTTGATTTGATATGGGAATGGGAACTTTATTATAAAAAGAGATCAAATTTTGTATTCAATACAGTCAACAGAGCCAATGAGTTTGACTTTAAAGGTTATTGTATTCTGTCATAGTATGTGTTACATAAATTATATATAGCGAAAAGGAAAAGATGAATAAAAAAGGAAAAATGCAAAACGAGAGCAGAGGGTTTATATTTAGTAACAATGTTGTTGGTGTTGATAGAAGTCAAAGGCTGCCCCTAAATAGCATTTGTATAAAGATTCACAAAGAGGCTGCAAAATTTCTACAGTTTTTTGTAACTATTGTAGAACCTGGTTAGGCTTAAATTTTGTTTTAAGCATTTATCAAATATACAAAAGGACAGTTGAGAGCAATATGCATGGTTAAAAAATAGCCCATTAATTATATATTAATATTTTTCAATCTATTGCTAGTTCATGATCATTGATCAAACAGCTATAGCTTTGCCAAATTTCTTTTCCAGGGAAGCATTTCGAAGAAGAGGAAAACTATATCTTGTTTTTGAATATGTTGACAAGGTAAGCAAGCGAGATTAGAGCTTTGTTCTATGTTTATTAATGAGAAGATATTCAAATGTTAGTTGATTGCTAAAACTTTAAAAAAGCACCTACTTTTGAAATAGTCTGTATAATGACATACCCTTTTACTGTAATCTATCTTTCAGGCCATTATAAGATAACAATTGCTAAAGCATTTTGCCCAAGTCAATATATTAGAATGCAAAAATTGTTAGGCTATGCCAAAATGTGAGTGAGGATGGGAGGAATCTCAGCGCAAGCAGCAGCAAGTTACTTCGGGATGGCATACCAAAACGTTTGGTTTATCAAGTTGTAATTTGAAACTGAAATATTTCTTCTTGTTTGCCGAATCTTGATATTTGCTCTACTCAGTTCAAGGTTCGCTCAGTTAGAGTGCTTCAGATACGGACGAAAGCTGAGCTGCCTAGTTTCTTAGTCTTAGTGCGTGAAATTTATTGACGAAATTTTGGCAGCGTAGTTTAAGAAGGATTTAAAAGATCGTGGATCAAGGCTATATCAGCAAAAAATTTTAGAGTTTTCTTTCATCAGCTATATTCTCAACAAGATACAAAATGATTTTATTTTTTAACAGAAGTCAAACACTTGATTAATACCTCTTTCTACGTTAGGTTTTCTGTTTTAGCACCATAGGCTTTTTTCAAGCGTCTATCCGGTAAAGATGTTTAATCAACATCTGATATTTTCTCCACCCGTATAAAGACAAGTTTAAGCACGTTTTGTCATATTGATAATTTTTTGTCTAGAATATTCTCGAGCTATTAGAAGAACTACCAAATGGGGTGCCACAACTCAAGTTAAGGTATGCCTTTACCAATTATTTAGATCACGTGTTGTGTTTTGGCAGTGCTATTACTTTCGATTTCATTGAAAATTCACCAGTCATTAGTCAAAGTTTGCCCTCGAAACGTTGTTCGAGTACGAGATGAGAAATTTACAAAATGTCTATGCAAAATGGTTAGTAAAAAGCGATTAAATTGTAATTTCTTCTTTGTTACTTTCACCAGGAATGCCTGTAAAACAAGGCAGGTCTTTGAAATCTAAGACCGTTCGAGGAAAGGAATAAATCAGCCTTAGGACCCTAATAGATAGCAGCTTATCCTATAACGCTAGGAGAATCGCGGCTCTTTAGTAGAAGTTTAAAAGTGAATGACCTCGGGCTTCTGTCGAACATGACTGTCATTAAAAGATTTTGATTCAAGGCCATTTCATTATTATCAGCCAGGATTTCTTATGAAAGGCTGTATTTGTTATCAGGGTAGTACGATTCCGATTTAATATTCCAAGTTGTTCTTTGTGAAGAAGAACCTACTTTTTCCAGATCCAGAGTATTCTTAGTTTTGTTTTAAGAGTGCAGATAGGAGTTGCCGAATCAAAGGTCCTTCCTTTAGGTTCTTATTTAATGGTGTGTTTTGATGATGGTAGAAAAGTTTTTTTCGTGACAATAGATGGTTCAGGGTAAGACCCACTTTTAAATAAATCATGATTATTCAGGCAAAAGTAGCTTTATAAAAGAAAGACAGCCTGTAAGTTCTCAAATTCTAACGTTCGTCTTTGCGGAAATGTACTGTATGATATATATTGACGAGCGGTATCTCAATCAAATGAATACCAGTCGATGAAACATTTAGTTTCTTCCATATTTTGTAGGAATTATATTTATCAACTTATAAAAGCTGTTCAGTGGTGCCATTCAAATGGTGTTATCCATAGAGGTAATTAAATTTTGAATATCTTTCCTAGAATACGTATTCAAATAATTGTATCTGTTTGTCTTTCACGTTTGTTTCGATTGAAAGTTCTTTTTATTTTATTGCCAACTCGGTCTTTTTCTCGATTGTGGAAAGGTTTCCATTTGTCTTCAAGCAGGTTGCGGTTCCTTCTGAATAGCATATTTTAATGCGCTCAAGCTCGTGTCGATATTAGTTAACAATATGCTAACAAGGCACTACAGATTCTTTTTTACTAAAAAAATGTTTTGTTATAGCTCCCATTTCCATTTTATTTCGATACAGACAACCAGTAAGCTGCTTGCTTTCAATCAAGAACTTTTCTAATAGTCGATAAAGACCATCTTTTTATGACTTTTTCTTCCATCAAAGAAAAGTAAAACTTCAAATTGTAGCTGTTACCTTTGTTTTTTCGAAATTTGTGATTTTTGATGATGAAATTGTTTTTTTTTTAGATATAAAGCCAGAAAATCTTCTTATTAGTAAAAATGATATTTTGAAACTTTGTGATTTTGGTAAGTATCTCCTGTTTTGAGTAGCTTGTTAAAAATGATAATTATAATTTTAATTTTGATAGTCATTATAATAGGGTAAGCATAGATAAACCCTAAAGGGGGGTAGGTAGTGCTTCACATAGCGAGTATCTCTTTCAAATTTTGGATACCAATTCAATGTAAACTACGCTTCATGCCAACAATTCTTATTTTAGGTTTTGCGAGAGCCATAACTGGTACAGGAACGGGCCAATACACGGACTATGTCGCCACCAGGTGGTACAGAGCCCCAGAACTGTTACTCGGGTATGTTTTTCTGTTCTGTATTTCATACTACTGGCATTTTCATATCAAAGTTCGTGTTAATGTGAAATGCGATGAAGCAGAGATGCTTAATCTCACCTTCCAATTTGCACTTGGGTTCCCTACAGCTTTCAGGGATTTCTCACCAAAAAGCCCCAATTCTTCAAGGGCGGGCTTTATAGTTACTTTTTACTCTTCTACAGTTAACTATAGACTGATTTTCAAAAAGGCACTCGGTGAAAGGCATCTATACGAATGGATAAATTATTTTCCCAGTTTAAATATCTGTTTCCAGTCGCCAGCCTGAGGGACTAGTTCAGTTGTTAGACTAGTTCCTCAGCTCAATACAGACATAAAAAACCTTAATCACTTTTAAGGGTTAAGAGTTTCAAAAAATTTTTTCAAAAGCCTAACCTTCAGAAGTAATCGACGCTAACCACAATGAATGTTTTTATGCATGAAAACAGTTGCGAACTAGCTTCCTAAAGTGAATTACTTTCCATGCTACACGAAAACTGGCAATTTGAATATGTTTATTTTTCAAAGCAGTGAATATTGATTGTCGAATTTCTTTTTCTATCACTGTGGGTTTTGTTATTTCGTAAAATTTCTCATTGGATCAAGAAACACGATGTTTGCTAAAACTGTATGCGAAGTTGCACAGACCACTCAAAATTGTCACGTCATCGCCACCAACTCTGGCAACTTGTAGATCAAGGCATTTTCAACAATGAATTGTAAAACCTTTTTAGAAATGAAAAGTTGATTTATTCGTGTCATGACCCTACACATGTCGTATCAATGTTGTGATACAATATGAGTTAAGGAACGCGTGCAAGTGTCAAAGTCAAAGCTGGTTTTATGCTCTAGACAAATGCTCGCATCTCAATGTTTACAATTATGTTTTGCAGAGATACTTTTCTTTCGTTAACTGTTTTCACGATAGTTTTCTAAGTTGCAATGTTTTGAACCACAATCTTCTAATTTATTGATATTATAACTCCATATTTCAAATTCTAATATTAGTATCATAGCTTTTTGGTTTAGAATAGAAAAGTAATTAATTCACAAAGTATGTTTTTGCATTATTGAATTTGGAGCAAAATAATCTGAAGTTTATTAGATAGTCCTTTGTGAAGAAAAATGGAATCAATAAAATTCGGCTATGATAAAAGAAAATAATTACAATGCTCTTTTCTATTTAACCGCTTTAATTCGGCATTGGTTCAATAATAAAAAAACAGAAAAACAGAAAACCTTTCGTAAAATGTGGTTTTTTGGCCATGTTTCAGCAAAACCAAAACAGATGTAGCTGATTTTACACTTAAGATGCATGCTATTGACTTCATGTCGTTGTCATTGTGTGCTTTTAAACAACGCCCTGACAGCTTGCTTTGTTTTTAACTGAGGAGTTTATTCTTTTAATTCTTTTAATAATAAAGCTTCTATTGAAAATAATGCTAGAAATTAAGAAAAAAAATTAAAAAAACTTAACAAGCTTCAAAAATCTTTTACCGTTGGTAATAGTTTCTAAGTTTCTAACATGAAATAAAAACAAAAAACAAAAAATACTTATAGAATGCTCATCATTTAACGTAATGACATTTAAATAAAGTAGCGAGTATTGAAAATAGCCCCATCTATAAGAAACTGGAATTCTTAATGTCGACCAGTTAGATTTGCTTTGTTTTGAGCTACAGTATTTTTTAAGCTTCATCTTATTGAGTTAAAGCTGCCATGTTAGCGTCTCTTGTTAGGCAAGGGGCTCGTGCATGTAATATATAGTTTTTTAAAACCATGATTGTTTTCATTTCTTATTGATCGTCTATTTACAGAGGTGGCTATGGTAAAGCTGTCGATATCTGGTCAATAGGCTGTATTCTCGGTGAACTCAGTGATGGCCAACCTGTGTTTCCTGGTGAAAGTGAAATCGATCAGTTGTATGTGATACAAAAAATCATCGGACCATTGCCACCGGAACAAATTCATCTGTTTAACTTGAACCCGCGATTCCGTGGCCTTAAATTCCCTACGGAAATAAAACCACTGACCCTCAAACACAAATACCAACATAACCTTCCCGCGGATTTATTAGAATTCCTAGAATCTACATTGAGGCTAGAAGCCAGAAAGAGGCTGACTATTGATCAATGCTCCAGCCACCGTGCATTTAAGCAGTTCCATCAGAAGAAAGAAAACAGTAATCACGGAGACAGTGACGTAGAAACAGAAGAATCGTGGAAAGAGATAAAGCTTGAGGACCCAACCCGAGCTGTGAAGGACGAGGTTAAAGAAAGTACCATGAAAATTGTGCCTAGGGTGGTAGGGAGTGACATTCAGGAGAAAGCGTCAAAAGAAAGGCGCGATGTTCAGGTTGGAAAGCGAGAAGATGTACAAGCTGTCCCAAATGGAAATTATCGATCTCAAACGAGCGAAGAAAAACAAACTATTAACAGAAAGCAAAGCAAATTAGAAGACAAAACTACTCGTGAAGATACTGGCGAAACGTCATCAAAGCCTCAGTCAACCATTCAATATTCGGAGGCAAAAATGACCAGGGACTCGAATTATAACAAAACAATAGAGAGCCGGCAAGTTAAGGATCTTTCTCAAAATAAAACAATTAGCTCTAAAAAGATATCGAATAATAATGACTTTAAGCTAGATATGAGTGCATTGACGAAACAATTTGGAAAGTTTAACAAGCCGAATCTTAGTCATGCTACCTCAAATACTATGATCAGTGCTAGTAAAATGAACTGGTCCATTCAATCAGGAACCGGGTATTCAAATGCTGGACACCGGACATTGCAGCCAAAGAGCTCATACGGGCAATACCATGTCCAGAATCAGGTATGCTTTGATTGGGTTACGTTGAAGTATCATTGGATCTCACTCATCTCGTAAACTAATTTGATAACAATTCAATTCTGATAATAAAATGCTTGATATAGCTGCAAAGACTCTCTTTACCATTTTTTATTAACAAAAATAGGCCACTGCTGTCCGTGATTATTAACAAATGATAACCATGGCGATTTCAAGCTTTGAATGGGAACAATCACTTTTTGAACCATCGCATCAAGCTGTTCTATCTTCACTCTATATGGTGTCTGGTCTTTCTATAGGCTACAGATCACAAATCAAGAGATACGACTCGGACATCAAACGGACAATCTTCTGAGGGCCACGATGAGTATTCCAAAACCAGTACCTTCGAACCTTCATATCAATATGGTTTCTCTTCAGATTCAAGGTTGGATGTTCATGTCAATTTTCTCATTTTTAAATTAGCATTCCTTCAATAATCAACTTTCTTTCTTGAAAAGATTTAGGTACCCCTGAGTGCCTATAGATTTGTGAATTTTCACTTTGTGCAGTTTTCTTTTGGGACTAGAGCTTTTAAATTGAAGTGAAATATTTCTTATTGTTCATTTTTTATGAATTTTTCAAAAACTTCTGTAATGAACTGATTCTTCATTGTTTTCACATTTTAAAGTAGTCAGAGCCTTGGAATAAAAACATTTATCATGCAGGCTCTGTTTTCTCATAAATTTCTCTGTCTTCCATTTTGCCAATATTTATTGTAATCTTATTTTTATTTTTTGTAAGGAAACAAGGTTAAATAATGAAATTTTTACATTATGACTGCATGTTGCTACAGACTGTTTTCAAGGTGCTAATCGTAGCATCTAGTTTAAAAAAGTACCTGTGCGATTCTCACACGGAAAATGTTGTTGTGCTGCACTCTATTTTAGCAGGCTGGGGGTGCCTGTGAAAAATATTTGCTTGCAGATTTCGCCCCTTTCTTCTAACTTTTTTATTAAAACACTGCCTAGGGTTGTGATGGAATTTGCAAGATCTTTTCGGCCATGATAACCAAGTAACAGCTTACAAAATTGTTCATCATTTTTTCTCCAAGGAACTTTTGGATAAATTTGCAACCAGTTTTCAAGTCTCAAACTACCGTACCCGTACTTAAAATAATTTTTATTAGCTAAGAATTAGACTTGAGTATGCCTAAAAAATTTCACCTACTCAGCTCTAAAAGTCTGAACAGTGTCCCTACTACATTAAGTGAACAGTTTATATTGTTAAATGTAACAGAGAAGCGAAAAAATGCCTGTTGAGCTGGAATGGACTCGAATTAAAAAGGCACAAAATTTTTTAGATCAGCCATTTAGTTTATTTTAGCTATTTAGTTATTTTTTTGCAATTCAAATTTCTCTTAATGCTAACAAATTATTGTTTATGAATATTGTTAGATTTTGTAAGATATTTTATCTTTTATTTATCCAAATTTAGGCTTTTTATCATCAATTTTATCTTGCTAATTGTGTTCATTTTATATTTTGTTAAAAAGGTTGGCCTTAATAAGCTTTTAAGCTATTTATTGTTAGCTGCAGACTTAATAATGTTAAATCAAAAGCTATTTATTAAATCAAAGAATTAATAATGATAAATGATAATAAATAATTGTTACTAAAAAAATGAAAACGCTGTGCCGGCTTTGGTGTGCAGAACAGAACGACTTTAAATTGCAACTTTGCATTTTACTGTTTTATGCTACATGCTTATGCGTCTCTTCAGGTCGGCCTTTACCCTTTACCTGTAGAACAACGTTTTTGCCTACTTCTTTATAACTTGTGACTAAAAAGCAAGCTTTGCAAAACCCAGTGAGGGGAATGATTCATCCTCAAACATAACTTCACGATTTGCCAGATCTTAAAACATAACTTAACTCCTTTACTAGAGATTTGAAAGACATTGGATCACGCAATCACACAAAAGGAGAAAGAAAGAAGAAGAAAAAGCGCCAGGTAAACACATCAATACGATGGTTTCAATAAAATTCTGTTCGCTTTAATGGTGTATTTGCAAAAAGTGCACACCGCAGCATACCCATTTGTAAATATAGTTACCTGGGCGAATGTAGGGGTAAGTAACCCCCACTTTATTTAAAACACATCCTCATAATTCTTTTGAATACAGAAGTTGCACTGGTTGGAGAAAGTTAAACTGGTTGGGGAAAGTTAAACTGGTTGGGGAAAGTTAAACTGGATCAAATGGCACTGTTGGAAGGATATAGCGCTGAAGTGACACAAACAGTTGGTGCCCACTTTTTTGTATAGAAATTTTTTTAGGAGCAGCAAAATGCTTATATTGCTCGGGGATGTCTCTTAAATTTTATTTTATTTACAGAAAAGCAACACGTATCCGGAAATGCAGGGGGCAGAAACAAATCATCTTGATTGCAAAACGCCCATCGCCGATCACAGCAGGTAGAGAGTCTTTGTTATTCCCGCCCCCCCCCCCTTCATATTGAGACTTATGTGGCCAGTTTCTTCCTCTATTGCTGCTAATGGTTTCTACCTTTAGTCCTATTTTCTTCATTCTTGTCCTTTTATAATTATTGGTCGTCTTCTTATAGTTTTCATTAGAAAACTTTAGTCGAAATAAAGGTGGAGTAACTGGGCTCTCCTTAATCTTTTCTAAAAGCTTAAATATTTTCTCATTTCATGTAAATAAAGAAATAGTTTTAATCATTCATATAACATATTGTTAATTTTTTCGGTATCAGTTGTAGAGATTTTATTGTTTTCCACTGTGCATGAAGCACTTCTCTTCGTACAACAATTTTTGTTGTTAAACGATAGGCTAACACAACCCAAAAGGACAAGAAACTATCCAATATAATTAAATTCAATTAAAAAAACAAACTTAATGCATAAAGTAAACTTTTGCTAATATTTTCCCCCAATATATTTGGCTTCATCACTATGTTTTTTCTTCTTCATTATCTTGCTTGTCTTTATCTATGATAAATGTAAATGAAGAATATTTTTGTTCCACAGTGATCAGAGATATCAAGACGTCTCTTCAACTGCAGATCAGGTATGATCGATTTTACTAACTTACGGATTATATAACTGATTTTATTAACTTTAAAGCCATCTTGTGGTGCTTTTAGCTCTTTTCTTGAAACTGTGATGTTAGTCCAGAGCACTAGTCAAGATCGACATACCATTATTTATTGTTTATTAAGCATCATATTTGACTATGCTCGTATTTCAAAACTGCTACTGTTTCTTGTCACCAACTCCTGAACAATAAAAATTTGTTGTAAATCAATAAATAAAAGACGTGCTGAAAAACGTGTTGTTGTTTATTAGGGGAAAGACCAAAGATACCAGAAGCTCAATCCTTTGGCTCCTTATGTGGACCATCGACAAACTAATGACAAGGTATCATCAACATTTCGAAATATTATCACTAATAACATTTTAAAAATAATTTCTTTCTTGTTTTTCATTGCAAAGGCTTGATATTGCCCAAGGTTTTGAAAACGTGCCAGTTGATTGACTTTTGCAAATGAAAAACTGAAGTGGCTGGGTTCACAAATATGACTGGGGCAATAACAAATGTAATGTCTTCACTTGAGACTTCATAGTTTACTTGAACTAACTTGTCAGAAGTTGTGATTTGATCAATATTTTGTTTTCTTATTTGGCACTTAGATGGTTTTTTGCCCAGTTTTATTATTATAGTAATGCATCAACGTGATTAGGCCATGTAATATGTGCAGTAGTATTGCGCTTACTTAGAAGCTTTTAAAAGGGAAGTGTTTGCTTTTAAAGATGTACTTAAACCTCTAAAGGTGTACTATGGTCATAGGTTTTCGTTAGTGCATATGCTGACTTTTTGTTCATTTTGAAAATTGCAGGTTGCTTCGGAGCCCTTTAGTTTTCATCGTCCTTCACTGATTGACGTCAAACTACAACCTGTCAACCTTAAAATAGCAAACAAGCAAAGCAAACCCCAACCAACCAAGCAAAGCAACATGACAGCCCCCAGTGAATTCCGGCTTCACCCTACCCAGTCTGTCTTGATGTCGTCACAGCAACCTTCCGATGTTGTGCGCGCGTATGAGTCGCAGTCCGTATTACATGCCCCAGAAAAACTTCAGCCGGTTCTACGCGGGCCTTCTCGAAAATCCGGACCGCATTCTTTCGATGTATCAGCGAAGTCAGAACAAAGACTTGTTCGCTTATCTCCTGAGCAACTGCGACCTATGCACATGGCTAAAGGTGGTACGCTTGGTGAGGTAGAAAAAGACAAAATTAAGAAAGTTTTTAGTCACGATTCTAGCAAAGAAACGTTCTTGTAGATTCCATTTGGTCTCTGGTCAGCCATTTGTTTAGGAAACCTCGAGACGAATTCTTGAAATAATGAAAGGTTAACTTTAAGCCTCCAAAAGTGAGTTTTTCGAACTTTCTATGAAATAAAAAATTCAATTGAAAAGTTTTGGCATGCTCACTCCAAAGGTTCCTCTCAACCATCAACCATCAACTGCTTGCTTAACCAGTCTCCTTATTGAAAGAGATCCTTAGAATTATAGCATATGTTCGCAGATAGAAATTCGGTTGTGTTCTCTTGTACTTGAAACCCAGTAACCAAAACATTTGAACGTTTTATCTTCGGTTAAATATTATAATTCTAAACCTGAAATTAAACGGCTTATTGTTATTTCAATGTTCATGTGTACATTCAAGTTATCTTTGTAACATATTCACTTCCACCCGCATTTATAGCAAGGACTCGTATTCACTGACATTTAACGTGTAAATTATTCGCTTTAGGTATGGTTGTTTGATAATTAGGTATAAACAATTTGATGAATTTTTAAACAGTTGTTAATTGTTTGGTCTCGTTAACTGTGCAGTGTATGCTAGTTTTGTTTGTTGAATTTATTGTCTTAGTGATATTTTCAGAGTAGCGATCACCTATACAGCAATAGCTTCACCCCTTTGTGTGTGTCAAGGCTAATTTATTTTGTCTCGTATTCGCTCCGTGCTGGCATATGCTCTAGCTCTAATGCAAATACAACTTCTGCATTGAATAGGGTTTGGTTTTGCAGTTTTAATTATTGCATTGCAGTTACAGTGCTTGTGGGTGTTGAAAGTGATCCTTCCAATTTGAATTGAAAGAGTTAACAAAGTCTTTTGCAGATCATCAACACTGATCTTGTCCAACTTCTCCAAACATCTTTTCTGATTAATACCCAGCTAATTTTCTGCGATCCTAGATTGATCCGACGTATACGGTTAAAACCCATCTCCATTACATTTCACTCACATACCTCTCCACCCGGTTTTTTCGCATGAACTATAAACAGTTATCAAATATTGTTCTGTTGTTGTTAGTTTTAAATGTATTATTCTGTGAATGAAACTAATATTTTTTTATCCTTTTGATGGTATTTAAAAGTTCAAGTGTGAGTACCATTAGAATGCAGCCGTTAATGACATAAGGATGCTACCTGAATTTCTCGCAGTTTGTTTGATATCTTAAACACATTCCTGTGGGTTGAATTTCACCGTTGAATTGCAAGCATAATCTTGAATTTTCTGGCTTTTGGCCTGTTCTATTCTTTAAGAATCCAAAAGTAATTTTGCCGAGTAGAGATCGAATTTGGTTAAGATTTGACTCGATACGATATAAATTGGACTCTGCGTGGCCTTATTGTGGATCATTGTGAATCATTGCGGATCATTTTAAATCATTGTGGATCATTGTGGATCATTGTCAACGTTCATCGTTTTCACCAACGAAAACGGAGAGAAATGAATACTGAGATGGTGTGAACATAGCCGTAGAATAGCTTCATGAATTTGGCTATTGACAAATGCCCAATCTGTTGTAGCGTTCATAAAGTGAGGCAATAGCTAAACAGATAACTGTTAGGTCTGCTCTCTTCTCTCCTAGCTAAGACTTATGAATTGTTTGACTGGTAAAATTAAATAATAAAATTGATTGGCGGTTGTTAGCGTTATGCACCCAAGTTTTTCTAAACTGTCTAACTTTGTTTGTCAATAGGAGACCTTATGATTTCTTAAAGAAGCTGTCAACTGTAAACAATTTTTCATTTTTTTAATGATTTCTTTGACTTCTTTTTTCAAAATAGTCGGTGGCCACTTGCCACTGTGTTGATAAGGAACTGCGTAGGAGGCCGTGTTTAATTCAAAAGATGGCGGGTAGTGGAGGAAGAGGTACTGGACAAAAACATTCATAGTAGATGATTCCTTAATAAAACAGTATTCATTTGGAGATGTTGTTGGTCCATTAAGTTCGAGACGATCCAAGAAAAGATTACTTTCAGCACTTGGAAATTGCTGATTCATCTCTAAAATTCAAACTTTCGTCCAAAGAGTGCGTACCTGTATCTAAAGCCTAACGTGGTCATAGAAATGGGAGTCAAACACTTATGGAGCATTATACAGCCAGCTTGTAAGAAAGAGCCATTTGAATCAATGCGTGGCAAAGTCTTGTGTGTCGACTTAAGTACATGGATATGCCAAGCAGAAGAGACGCTGCCGTTGAAACATGCAGTCCACAAGCCCTATTTGAGAAACACAATTTTTAGAGTAATCTGTTTGAAACGACTAGGAACTCGTTTAATTTTTGTTACTGAAGGAAAGCCCCCGGAGATCAAGTGGAATGCTATATTGGAAAGAGCGGCAGCAAGAGCTGAGCTTGAAAGAGGTGCCGGCAATTTTGCAGCGAAATCATACGGAAAGGGGAAAACGAAGGGACGGCAGGCTTCAGGTGAAACAGCCAGTGGTAAACAAGTTATGCCTCCAAAAAAGATTGGCAGATCGGTTTTTCAAAGGAAAATTAATGAGGTGAAATTTAAAATTGATCATGAAGTTTTTTAAAATTGACAAATTTTCACAAATTCTTGTCTGGGTGAAATGTCTGGGTGAGATTATCAATATGGGATAATACACTACTCTAACCAGTCTTTCGAACAACTTTTTTAAAACGGAGATAATGTTGTCTTGCCATAATGATTTTAGGAATAATTTTACTTAATTTGAATTATAGTGTGCTCAGCTGCTTAGGTTCCTGGGAATCCCTGTTGTTCAGAGTGAAGGAGAAGCTGAAGCCTGTTGTGCATTCTTAGACAACAATCAGGTAAACATCAATAAAAGTTTTTTCAATGTTGTGGGTGGGACAAGAATAATTTTTAGCAAGAAAACAAACAAGAATGTGTTTGTAATATAGCCAATTGTATTACAAAATTTTCACCAGAATTTCAAACTTCTTTCAGTGGTCGCCTTCTCCCCTCTATCGTAACAATGCCACTTCAACAAGAAATGCTCACAACAAAGTTGAATCACTTTAAATCAAAGTTGAACCAAAAGGGTATTCAGCTACTGAGACCACCTAATGTGATAAATTTTTAAACTGACTGTGCATTTATAGCAAGCATTTCCTATTCCATGATGCAACCAACATATATTTTATAACTAAATAAGCATAAAACTGACCTGAAGAATTATTAGTTGAATTGTTTGTTCTCGTTAGTTGGCTGATGGTTGCATAACACAAGATGGTGACACATTCTTATATGGTGGCAAAGTTGTTTATAGAAACCTTGGCATTACTAATAAGGTTGGCTTGCTTTGATTGCCTTAAAATTCATGCAAATCATTGCTTATTCTAATAATAAAGCTAGGGTATTGCAAGTGTCAGATATATTTTCCAAACATGCAAATGATCTAGCACATGAAAGCTAATAACAATGCCATTCACGATAAGTATATAGCCTTGATGAACAAATAAATACAAGGTGGCTTTGCATCATTTGTAAACAGATTCTTTGTTTTTGGACAAAAAAGTCCTGTTGTGCTTGGAAACATTTAGTAGCTGGGATCAACCGTGACGATTAGTTTAATTTTCTGTAATTTAAAACTTTTTCTAGAGTCCAATTTTTATTATCTAAGTAATTGGATAATAATTGGATAAAATGACATTGAAATTCATTTTAGGAGCCCTTTGTATACAAATATTCAACCAGTGATGTGAAAAGAAATCTCGGTAAGCTACACATCATTGCCTAAGGCTGAAAGCCTATCTTTGGGTAAAATAGCATTTGTGTCTTATTTGCAATTTATTAGTAATTCTAGCTCTATTTGGTTGGAAATGTGCAGCAAACTCCACAGCTAGGCCTTATACAATGTCAAACATCTGCAAATAATGGTGTGAACTTACTGGATTTTAAGACTTTAAGACTTTAATGTGGCATAGTGATATGGTTCAATGTTTAACAGAAAAAGCTTTACAGAGCAGTGATAAAGGTTTTTTGTGTTTTCTTTTTCTTAATAGTCCCCTCCTTCTCTCCCCTCTTCAAGCACCAATTTATTAATAATATAACAGTCACTGTTCCATTGAATGTACAGGAATTGATAGGGAGCAAATGGTGGCATTAGCCCTTCTGCTTGGCTGTGATTATTGCGATGGTGTACCAGGAGTTGGCTCAAAGACTGCTCTGAAACTTTTGGATGATTTGCGTTATACTAATATCATTGAAAGGTGAGGATGCACCTGTGATTTAAACTTAAAATTGCCATAAAATGTCATAAAAGATCAAAGATACTTAGAGCAATTTAACTAACTTGCTTCTATCTTTAAAAAGCCCCTTTCTTTATCTGTGTTACAATGGAGGAAATGTGGCTCACTGCCACCCCTAACTGCTGCCACTCACTGCTGCCGCCCACTGCCTTCACGCTCTCAAGGTTTCGCATTTAAGTAAGGCTATTCTTTTTTTCCTTTTTCACTATATGCTCTTACCATTTCTTATTTTTCAAGGTTTCAGATGTGGAAGAAAGACAAAATTGTACCAGATTCGGCATCAAATATTGAGAAACAAGTTTTTCGGTATCATCATTTTTTACAAACTAAAAGTTGCAATTGAAAAAATCTTCATATTTTTGTATGACCAGTTGATAACAAATGGTATGTTTACTGCTGATATCAACAAGTGATTGATTTTACAACAAGGGGGATAGAAACTAACTCAGTCAAATTCGTCTACTAGTCTCCCATTGAATAGAAAATAATTACTTTTAGTTCCAAGTGATCAAATGTGAATGTCCTCAAAATTTTTGGTAAAGTACATGTGATTTATTTCATTTGTAAGAGAAACAATTAAGGAACTTTACCCTTTTTGCCTTTCAGCAAGGCGATGAAAGTCGCAAATTTTCCGAACGAGGAGGTCAGTATTTTGTTATGCACTGTAATAGATTGGTCCTAGGCCTAAGTTCTTGCAACTTCTTCTTGCTAAATACAAGGATTATAATTCTTTGCTTCCGTCATGATGTAACTCCTGACTTGAAATTTGTTTTATCCTTTTTGTAACTCTTGATATGAATTTTTACTTTACTTTATCGTTCTTTTTCCTAAACTGGGGGTCACACCGTATTTTATCTTAATTGGGATGAACCTTCCAACCCGCTCTTTCTGCCTCGCTTTTTACTCGTGTAAGAGAAATTTCTACCAAAGCTGCTATATTTCCAGAACTGGAAGATTGGAGTCCGGAATCCCACATTTTGATCTACCAAATCCTTTTGCAGAAACTCTCTTCTACTTTTCTGTAAACAATCTTTCTTTTTTACCTCAGCAAATCATCAAATAGGCAAACTCTCTCTCTTCCATCTTGGCAAATCACCATGTTCAATTGCAAAAACGACTAAGGCCACGTCTACACGGTAATGTTTGTCCCAGACTGCGTTTTCATCTTAACGACAACGAATAAAAAACTATGCTTTTGAACGGAAAAAGCGAATTTTAAATTCGTATAAACGCGTTTTCAAAAGTTTGCGTTTCCAGTCGCAGGTTAATCGTTGCCGTGTAGATGGGAGGTAAAAACGCAGACGTGGGTGATTTTCATTTGAAAAAGTGCTTTTTGCAACAAAAAATGGAGGAGGGGCCACCCCTACCTGTATTTTGCATTTGCTTTAACTTCAGCTTGGTTTTTCTGAAACACAAAGAGCTTTATTTCAAAGGTCATCAAAGAGTTTCTAAATCCAAGAGACAATTTCGAGGAAGTCAAAAGTCAGATCAAATGGGAGTATCCAGATTTGGTTAACGTTCAGGTTTGAAGCAGAATTTGAATTCTATCAAACTCCTTGCACAGCAAAACGTTCAAGGACAAATTCTTTCCTTGGTCTTCGAATTATCTTGCGGAAATTTGACTATATTGCCTGAAATGCCGTTGGCAATATATTTTTAATTTTCTCGCGAATAGTTTACTGTCGTCTGAATAACATTAAAAAAATTCATTGTTTTCATTTGAAAGAGGACAACTGTATACCAACAACAAGGAACTGAAAACTTTTCTTAGAATACTTGGGTAGGAATGGCTGCGAGGACATTTTTTAGCTTTTGGCTGTTTCATTTCTTGAACTGAATTAGATATATCTTGGTATGATAAGGCAAGTAAAGGCATTAGGGAGGCCGTGCAAGGAAGCGCTAGCTCTCTATCGTGAGCTGATAACGCACTATTATGCGCTTATCAAAATTAGCCGATAAACAGTTCATGACCAACTTCACTGCCTTTTGTCATGAGAGCTGCTTATTAGGGGAATATTCTGGATATATTCTAAACACACGTAGCAATATGCTAATGACACAGAGGTCTCAATACAAACACTTTTATGACGAAAGAGTGTGTGGTTCATGTTGGTTTTCTTGTTAATAAGGGTAGTAAACTTTTGTTCAAGAAATTATCCCCAGCCTCAATAATTCAAATTGCTCAAAAACCAAAACTTTTCTTCTATATGTGATCGAAAGAACTTTCTTTTTTATCTGTTCTGTTGAAGGATTTGCTTTTATTTGCGATTTTCTTAACTTCAAGTTATCATCTGATTCACTTTATAATTTCCTTTCCATAGAGATTTTGCGCAAAACACATGGAATGGCCAGAAGAGTATACTTTATCGAAGGTAATTTTTTTAATAAAGAACGGGTAGATTTTCTCTCTAGTCCTTTTATCAACGTTGAAAAAAGCATTTAATGTTTTTGGTTTTTGAAGATATTTGAAGACCATTGATATTGGCGTCTCTTCTCCATCTTAATCGAAACATATTTTGTAAAATGCAAATTGATCAAATGACAGATTTGTAAAGTTCCAAACAGTTTTTTCATTCGGAGTTTTTCCCATTTACTACTCTCAGTGTCATGTCTTGTAGCATATCACCTGAAAAAATATTCTGCCTAACAAGAGAAAAAGAATATACCTTTGTTTGCTATTGCAATGATTAATACGTTAAACAGCAAAGCACTAGATTTTCCGTTCATTTATTTGGGTAAATATTTTGCTATCTTAGGTTCTCGGAGTAGCAACAAATGAGCATCTAAGCCGCATATCAAGAGGTATTCCGTTGCAATGCCCCTTCTCCGCGAATCGGTATGTTGCGTTGTTTTAATTAATTTAGATTTTTGTAATGCTTTAAAAGAAGGCGTAATTTTCCAGATAAATGTTTGAGTAGAGTTCCTGGAAAAGACTAAGGAGTAACATTTGTTATAAATTTGATGGTTGATGATGAAATCATCCCAGCCAGCAGTGAATGCTTGCACAACTCAGGTTGAGAAGTAAGGCGAGTTGAGTATTCCCTCAAATCTCATGCCTTGCCCACATTGGCACTTTGTTCTTTCAACACCTGTCCACTCTTCTGAGCTATTCTTGGCTTCTTATAAGCTTCTCGTATATCTGTATTTTGTGATAATAACTTAACTGTTTTCCAAAATCCATATTTTCCAAGACTTGTCAAGCCAAGAACAAAACACGGTGTTCCCTTGTTCGAAGTTGAATGGACTGTCACTTCTGCAAGTGAGCTTGCTGACCTTTGGAAAGGCTATCCTAATGAATTTTCAACCCTTGAGTCGCAACAGGTGAGGAAACTACTCCAGCATTTTATGCTTATTTCTTTACTATTCATTTATCCTTTTTCTATTTTACTCCTTGGGGTTATTGTGAATTAATAGGTCCCTGCAGAACGGTAGAAGTACTGTTTATATTGCATAAAGGAACAGCCTGTTGAGATATGTAGATTCTACATGTACACAGCTCCCTGTATTCGTCTTGGAAAGATGGTATGGTAAATGGCCAGCTCTGCACTCGTCTCTTATAAATCTGCTTGTACAGAAATTATCCATTCAAGATTCTTCAGGGAAGGAGGACTTTCAAGTATCAGTTCTATGCAAAAATACTAGATCATTTAGTCCAATGACGTCTTTTCCCCCCTAGAGCGATACCTTCTAATTTCACCACTGTTACTTTTTATCTCGAGTGATTGTTTCTAATCTATAATGCTACAAAATTCATACTCCCAAACTCAATGAAAATAATATAACAGTTTTATGAGTCTTCAAGGTTTAAATTTCTTAACACCACTTGCAAAATTAGTACCATATTTCTCAACAGTTACTCTTTTTCCCTTCAGGAAATTCTTCTCTGTCTTCCTGATTTGGTTAATGAATTTGAAAAATTAAAGCTGGAGAAAAAGAGCAAAGGTGATTAGTTTCTGTTAGCTTTATTATGGTATAATGTTTCTAAAAGCCATTGTAATAGAAATGCAGAATTTTTCGACAAGTAGGTTAACATCTTGGCCGTCAGAAATCCTTTTGAATTTAGTGTTGACATGGAAACAAATCATATAAATGCACCTTAATGTAAATGTATTTTCAATATAGGGAAAAAAACTGGTAAAAAGAATCAGAAGTCCAAACCGAAAGATGGTAGCGACGAAGAGTCAACCACTTCTGCAGCGAAATCGATCAAAAATGCTGAATCTACGGGAGAAACATGTCTAAATAGCGTTCGGCCTGAATTTGTAGACGGGTGCAACATTAGTCCTACAAATTGTTCATACAGTGTCGTTTCCGATGACGCTCAAGCCACAAAACAAGACATAACTGAAATACGTTCGAATAATTTCTTGAAGAAAAAGATGGAGAGTATGGTTGAAGCTTCCCCTGAAATTATGACTGGAGATATCAAGATCGAAGATTTGATGGGATCTTTTTCATTGATGGAGCTGAGTTCTATTACTCTTGATGGTGTTGACAGTAACGAGCAAGGCAAATTGTCGATGGATCAGGATAGATTTGATGCCCAAGAAACACTGACTCCAGATTATAGGCAGCCAGAAATACTACCTCTCCGCGAAAGATTACAGCGAAGAGCGATGGCTAATATAGACAACCGATTAAGCAGTCATAAATGCAATGGTGATTTGCGTGTAACCTCTGCTGCGCTCGCTGATCAACTATCGTCTTCCACAGCACATGAAGCAACGTCAATGGATGCCAATACAGTGGAAGGTCGAAGCAAGTCACCTAGAGACATAGATGTAGCGAGAGGCTCAGACCATTTGAAGCCTATTGACGTCGACTCTTTTCAAACAAATCGTTTCTCGAATAAATCTACTAAAGAACCCAACCGAGCCAACTTCAGCAGCGTGTCTGTAGAAAGCGACGACTGCGTAGCCAAAATTGATTTCCAGGGCTTTCAGGAAGATAAAGAGCGTTCTCTTGTATGCCATGATACGGTTCTACTTTATTGCACATCACTAGATGAAGATTGTCTAGAACAGGTTTTGAGCCGTGTGAATTCCCCACTAAGTATAGCTTGTAATTCAAGTGCAGATCCGAAAATGTTCCAAGCAACACCAGATCTACTATTAGGCAATATTCTGACGCCAAAACACACAAATTTCCCCACGTATGACTTAGGCAATCTCACAAATGACAGTTTAGGCTGTTTGCTTGAAAACAGTCCTTGTCTCTTCGGTTCGCCATATGAAGCGGAGAATAAGGAAAACAGTATTGCAACTGTTACCACGCCAGGTAGTGAAGAATACACATATGCTCTGCGGAGGAGACTCGGTATACTGCCTCATGATACACCCGAAAGACTCGATTGTAATACGCAATATTCGCCACAAAGTGAGGGAGTGGACAGGAGAAGAACAATATTGCCTCCATCTTTATTGGAAAGACTCAAAAAAAGATCACATAGAATATAATTGTTGTGTAATCGCATATCATTCCATTTGTAAAAACGAGATTAGCAGTTTTTCAACAGGTCGAAATTGAGTAAATTGATTAATGTATTTCCTAAGTTGTGTTTGCAATGCTCATGATATTTTCTTTCAGTGATGCATTTTTTGAAGATTTTTTGAAGAGCATGACCAATAGAGGAAGTTGACTATAAGGAGCTGTAGTTGATATTCCCCTTAAAAAAAATGAAAATCTACCAAAAGTACATGCATACCGATTCAAATCTAAGAAACTAATATCTTTAAACAATTATTTATATAGTTCTTTTCTAGGAAATATTCCAATCTACTGCATTATTGTTTTCATTTTTGTAATTCTTGTCAACCAAAAATTGTAAATACAGTATTTTCTTAATTTTGCTGATTTCAGAAAATATTAAAGAAGCTTTGGCTTCAACAATCTAGGCCAAAGTTCTAGGGCTGGAAGCATTTTTTTTAAAAAAGAGGATATGCTGGTTTGAATTTGTCCCCTTACTTAGATCAGGTGATAAGAATAAAGGTGTTTTCAAGTTCGCTTTGAGAACAAAAAAATACAGAAAACCTTTGCACGTTGCCTTGGGGGTACTTATCGGTGAAACCTTTGCGGTTAAGCCCAAGGGGAAGGGTAGTCGCCTATCTACTGTGCTCAAGGGGGTGTCCAGGTCTCATTTGCCGGCTTAGTTGCCTAGCTATATTTTATGTGCCGAAAAATTGGAAATTTCGCTGAAGAATCACCCCCGAGATTGCAAAAACTCTCCGATTTTGAAACACAACTTTTTACGAAGGGGTTGTTACATCTGCAAACTGAGGTCTTGATTACTCAGGTCTGTCTGTTATAAAAAGTGCAGTTAAAAATGTTTTTTAAAAAACCAGTTTTTACAGCAATATAGTATTGAATTAAGACATTACATAGAAGGAGAGTATGACGAATGAATATGGCGCGAAATTCATTCGTCATCATTCATGGTTTCGGTTGAAAACATAATTGAACGATTATTGATTTTGGCCCAAAGGCCCAAAGTTATTTATTGATTTTGGCTCAATATTTTTGTTGTAATCTAAAGAGTTATCTTAATAAAGATTTTTGCTTATTCAAAATTTTTATTCAGCAAAGAGTGCTCCTTTAAAGAAACATTTCTTATCTGTCTCTATTTCATAGAGAGGTTTGACTCCGTTCCATGCATGTGAGCAGCAAAAATATTCGTTTGTTTGTTGCGACATCAATCTGAAGATAGAAGCTGGTATTGGCTACATTAATATGGTAATAGTACTATGCTTTAAGTATTATTTATAAATTTAATTAAAATTTCTTTGTCATACTTTGCCTAACCAACTGCAGTTAACGTGGCGTGACCTTTAGGTGTTGGCTATGCTTGTAAGGCGAGTCTCGAAGAAAAGCACTGCGTTGTGTATATGCACAACGTCACGAAAGCAAATATTCCAGTCTTTGGCTACTTAATTTTTTATTAAATAATTCATAACTAGAGTAAAGAGACTAAAACATACAATACGCATTTCACGAGCCTGCCTTTACGTGTACATCGTGTATGTACCTTATGGTCTGTATCCGAAAAGTTAAAGACACATTTTTTTACTTACTGTGTATTGCTCATATTGAAAGCTGTTATGGCTTGAAAAATCTATTTTATTTGTAATCCGAGTATAGGAAACTTTCCAAATTATCGTGTGATGTAAATTTTTAATCACTGCCTCTCGCATTTAGTATATTGTCATTTTGAATATTTTGCTTTAATTGGACCAAACCAAGTTCATTTCAACCAGAAAGAGGGTGCTTGATGGTTTTTTTTCTTCACAATCTTCAAGACAGAGCAAAAAAATAATTCAAATTCAATGCTACACAAAATGTTATGACACCAGTCAATGTTCAATTATGCTTATGGTTCATGTGAAGATTCAGGTGCAGATTTACTGCAATTTCAATTCCATGAAAGACATCAAACTGATACTGTATGGCATACAAGAAGTCGAAAAAAAAATTATTATCACAGTTATATGCCAAGAATAAATTATTAGTAATATATGTATAGGTATTGATTGAAATGAGAAACTCACTGACAGGGCTGTCGTGGGGCAAGCCTTGTGGGGTGGGGGGGTGTGGACTACAAATTTACCTGGTTAAAAAATAATTACCTGAAATTCTTAAGTTGCTGTCACAAACCTCTGCAATACATTTTGTCAATCTAACTGTGTGGCATATAATTTGTGACATTCCTTTTAAAATGATAATAACAGACTTTCCTAATAATTTTGCCAAATCAGTATACTGGGATGGGCAACTACCTGAAGCGGCACCATGGTTGTCGTCAAAGGAGCAGAAAATTTTCAAATTTTGATGCTTCCAGCTCCCTGGAAAATGCACTTTTTAAAGTAAATTTTACTAAAGCGATCCTCCTAATCCTATCAAAAATTCTTTTATTTTTGCAAACAAATTGAACAGCAGATAAAAACAACTGGTACAATTTTGCCATGGTCTTGAAAAATACCATGTTGTCAGTTACTTCTAAAGCTAGGTAACAAGCAGCACTCATGGTTGCCAATTTAGATCCCTCTTTCCATCTTAGCATGCTATTTTAGGGGAAGTGGACACAAGGCACAATTTTACCTAAAGAGGGCCTGGATTTCTAGATTTTGTGCCAACAAGAAATCTTCAAATCTTCAAACCATTAGTTTGTTTATCTTCCTTCATATCAAGAAATTTAGATATTTAGCCAAAGGAGCAACTACCTTTGCTTAATTCTTTATTGATGTTAATACATGCAGGTCACTGAAATACCTAAAGCGTTTTTTCCACTGGTTGGATTTTACCTGAAATTTTCTACCGGGATACTATTGGGGGTGTGACACCCCCACCCCCCCCACACACACACACCCCACCCCACCTGGCTGCAACACCCTTCCTCACTGCGTAGCATTAAAGCTAATCAAGGAGAGATGCGCCTAATACACATAGCTATTTCAGCCGATCATTTCCTCATGGAGATCAAAGTAAATTACCCTGAAAATGACTGATTTTCATTTATTGAGTGAGGTGAAAAAATGTGAGAAATTTTTGTCTGTGACCCTTTGGATGGGATAATTCTTGATGAATCTGTTGTTGAGCTCTCAAAAAAGTCATTGATATTTTTCCTTGCAGGCTGCAATGACAGATACACAAAGAAGCAAAGTACGCTGCAAGTGAGTTAAATTGTTTTCTTTGTACATCAATGCCTGAGACAATCAAGCTTTAAAACAATATTTTGAAGTACCAATTGATGAATTTATCTCAAAATGGTATCTGTTTATAAAAGCTTTCCAACTACTGATAAGACTTTGCTACAGAGATTTAGGGAGAAATAGCATAAGTTTGAAAAAATGCCAATAAAATTTGAAAAAATGTAGAGATTTTTTTTGGGAATGACAGTCCTTTTTTTCTAATTTCCGGTACTAATTCAACACTGGCACCAAACCATTTTTTTTATCTCGAAAGGATAAGCATTTTGCCAAAATCACGACCCTAGATTTGCACCTAAAACTGACAGCATCAATTAAGTAGACCTGTCTTATTGTAGAATTTACTTGATGATGATTTTAGTTTTGTCTTCAATTTCATTTTAGATACAACAAATTGGTGTTTAGGTATACTTTTTAATCAAATAGAGTTTGAATTTTTAGTTCAATATTATCTTTCTTCCAAAAGTTATTGTTGCCAAAGATTCAAATCAGATTTTAATGTTCTGCTTCACAGATATTTTTTGCATGGAGTTTGCAACAAGGACAGCTGCCCATTTTCACATGATATTAAAGATAAGCCTTCTATGGTGAGATATTTTTTTAAACAACTATCAGACAAATCCTAGGTCATTTTATCTTTCAGAGCTAGTGGTAATTAAGCGGGCCTTCTCGTTTTACCTGGGCGTTCGCCGTCACCCTCGCCAAATTATTGATGCAGGCAGTTGACCGCCCTCGTAAAAAACATGTGTTGCCTACAAGAGAAAGGAACGCTGTTATAAAGCAAGTGCTATCAAACATTAGTCATTAAATCGCAAATGCAAAAGACCGACACTGATACCATGAGCTCGAAAGGAAATCAAATTGAGTTACAAACTTTAATGAAGTATGGAAAATCCGATATAATCAGTTTTAAGACCAGACTTTCGTAAACTTCATCTGGTGCAAAGTTTGCAGAAGAAATAAAGAAGGTCAAACATGTTTTCTCTTTGTGAGTTCCTAAAAGCTACACTATTCCTATATGAAAGATCAATTTGCTAATGAAAATGAAGCATCATTTCCTCATTGTTGACATTATAACTATTATAAACTGGTGGTAATCACGCATTTAGATAATTAAACATTAGGCAATCGTTCAGAGATAATACCCTAATTTTCCCTCAGGTCCTGAAGGACTTCCTTTTAGCAAATATTATTGGACAGACGATCGCCCTTGTAAGCTGAACCATGGGGGCAGTTTATTGCCCTTGCGAAAGTTTCTTCACAAAAAGGCCTGTAATTAAAGGATTATAATTTTAATATGAAACCCTTTGGTATCACAAAGTTTGAAGATAACACAGAGGAGAGACTTGTTCTTGTCGAAGATTTGATCCAGCCAATTGCTTGGTGCTGAGATGAACACTACTCAATTTATTGTATCAGGGAAGTCATGACAGTTAATCTTTTTCTAGGTTTGCTCCTTTTATCTCAAAGGTGATTGCTCATATGGAAAGCAATGTAGATATGACCATGTAAAGCCAGACTATATTAAAAAGGTATTTTGAAAATCTAGATCTTTCAATTTGCTAAATTTTTATTCTGACTCTGTCAGGTGAGTTTTTCAGCTGATACTGTACCTAAAGCTTTAACTTTCTATTGGCCAAGGGTGATGAAACTTTGATATGATTAATTAAATGTCTATTAAATAATGAAATTGAGGTAGAAAACAGGTTTAAGATACTGGAAGCCCACCTTGATACACTTGTGAAAATTTGAGGTTGAAAATGTGCTTGATGGGTTGATATCTGCATTTGAAGAGTACCATCTTATGGAAAAATGAAATTTGCTACAGAAAAATGTTGTCTTGTATATTGGTAGTTTGAAAAAAATTTTTGAATGTGTTCAAGGCTGTCTGCTTTTGATTTATAAGAACTTAACAGTAAGAGGCATGATTATAAATCTAGACTCTCAAGGAGGCTCAAGGCACCTAAACTTTTGTTAATGCAAATAAGTGCCCTTTTCTTCTTCTTACTATTGATTTCTGAGCATTTTTGGCCAGCTTGTCAAGTCTTTGTGTAAGTCAGTGGCGGCTCCAGCCTGGGATAAGTAGGGGGGACAAAAGATGTGTCAGGGACAACGCCTTTTTGGACCACGCCCTTTTCCCCTGTTTGAAACTTTTTCTTCTGGAGGAAACACCTGTTGTCTCCCTAGAAATGTCATTTACATGTAATGATCTATAGAATGTACATACCCCCCC